GGTCTTTTGAACCCAAATCACAGTGTGGAAGCTTCAATGAATTGATTTTAAAAAAGAAGGTAAAAAAGAAAGCTCTTGAATACTAACTATATTATTTGTTAGGGTTAAATTTCAGTAATCACATAGTCAGCAAAATTCTAAACTATACTGTAGAGAGGGAAACTAGAAAAAAAAAATCAGATTCTTTTGTAAATAACTTTTCCTTTAATTCCTTCAAGTGTTCTAATAATATACACTCAATATTTATAGAAAATTTCATATGGAATATATAATTATCAGTATGTCAATATTGAACAAACATTTTAATGATTTGGATGGATTAATTCTATATTGTCTCTTTCAAAGACAAGCTCACAATAAGACTTATCCTGAAATTTAAGTGGTGTATATTTTGCTTGGAAAAATTTTTTCATTAGTAACTTAAACATAAAAAAATCTCTAAACACAGCTTATTTAGGCCTATTTTATGCCTTTGTGGATTGCAGTAAATCGGTTTCTTCAAGTAACTCTAAAATTTCAAACTAAAAATTAATGGATTAATTAATGACATTCTAAACAGCATCTGCCATTTACCTTTGAAGATTTTTGTTTCTCCTTCTATCATACTGACCTTACCCTCCTCTGAATGGAATGGCCATCAATTTTCCCCCAACAAAGCACAGGAAGTGTTTGCTGCACTAAGTGGTTATCTGCTCTCCAGAAGACATGTCTCAAAGGCTACTTATCCCCAGAATTAGTGAACTAAAATAAAAATAATTCCACTTACAACATTCTCATTACTGAAAAGATCCATATTCTGTTGACTGTTGTTACCAGCATGTCTTAGTGTAAAGCCACTTTTTAGCTTCTGTAGAAGGAGGCTTCTGTTTACCTCTTAACACCAGGGAAGCAGGTCTTTGCATATTTAAGCTCCATTTTAATCTGGCAGTACAACTGCTTAACAAATCTTTGAGGATACTGTTGGGAGTGGGGCAGCAGGAAAAGAACACAAGCAGCAGCAGGGGTAACAGCTTTATAGAGTTTATGCTTATACACAAGAGCTCATAATGCATTCCCTGAGGAATCTTTCATGCTCTCCACAGATTCCTGAAAAGATACTCTGTCCCCAGTCAGTGAATTCAGCATTGGTACTTCAACCCTTAATGATCTTTATGAGCAATCATGTTGCAAGAGATGCTGCTAACCTCAGTGCTCTTCTGTCAATACCAGTGCTGCAGCTAGGAGAAACCACTAACAGCAAATATCTTCTGCAATAATAAATATTGCTTCACTGGGTAAGTGGAAGAAAAGAGGGAGTGACCTTATCTACACCACTGCTTCAAAGGAAATCTTTCATTCTGTGTATGAGAGGCTGTCAAAGTGCTTCCTCTGCAAAAGGTCTAGCTGCCTTTTCTGCAATCCTTAGATTATTTTTAGGAAGTTATTTGGAGGACCTCTCAATTCTCAAAAGCTCTTGTGACTACAGATCACAAAAAGATGTTGTTGACTCCTTAGCTGAAGATATGTCTCATTCACAGCAAAGAGTGTTATCTCTGGATGGTAGAGTGACTTACATATCTCAGTTTTGGGTACACCAAAGACAAGAAGAATCAGACAGTAATTTTCTGAATAATAACTTGCCAATTCACTTCCAAGTCCACAAGTGTGATGGGAAACAATAATTAAGCAAAATTTCTTATCCATCCAAATAATTCTTCACAAGACTCTGAGAAAAATAAAAACATTAGATGTTTAGCTCATTTGGCTGAACTGACTGTCAAACCCTTAAAGCCTATCTGAACAGAAACCTCCCATCATATGGCAATATGTTCTTACATTAATATGACCTATTTTTTTGTATTACTCAGACAGTTGATTGTGGATTGATTTTTGGCAAGTACTGTCTCCTTAAGATTATTATTTCTGATAAAAACCACCAATGAACCCATTAAGTTACTACTGTACTACTACTAGCCGTTAAGAGACACTTAAAAATACACCAGTATCGTAAGGCAAACTTCCCTTTGGCAGTGACTTTTATTTCTTTCAGACATATGTAAGAAATACAGTGCTTATCAGTAAGATCTCTTCATGACAGCACTCTCAAATTAGCTTATACAACAACTGAGCAGAGAAAAGCAATTTCTAGAATACTTTCTAAACCACTCCAGAAAACAAACAAAAAGCAAACCCATCCTGGTTCCAAATGTATGTCCGACATTTGCATTTCACAACTGTATGACACCTTCCAGCTACATTCTGGTACAGTATATAGCTACAGTTGTAACATACTGCATGGTATTTTAATGCTAGCCTTGCTCTCACTGTACCTTCATTATCTTCCCTATTATTCTCCTCTAACTTCTTTTTTATCATTTTTCTTTTCGTTCACAAACATTTACCTCTTTTGTCTGCCCTCTGTACCAACCTCTAGAAAGCAAACAGCAAAGTTACTAAGTATATATTCAAGGAGTTGTAATGCCCTTGAGCCAAGGATCATAATTATCTACACTGTGAGGCACTAATCTTGTTGTTGCATGCTTTGCAACAACTTGACAAGAAATAAAACTGTTTTGTTCTGCTTTTATTACAGAGAGGAAATCATTTATTTAACATTCTGAGTATATAGTCCGCTATTTAAAAACATACAATTACTATGAAAAATTTATAATTACAACTATCACTACACACTCAACATTCTGACATGTTTCTTAGGGAAGAATAATAAACAAAAGACAAAAAAAAAAAAAAAAAAAAAAGTACCTTAAAACACACACAAATCAACAACGGTGACCTGATTGGGATTATGTGGATTAACAAAAACAAAAAACAAAACAAAAAAAAAGGGTAAAAAGGGTAAAAAGATTAAAAAAGATATCAGAATAGGTAACAGAATAAATATCATAAAAAATAACAGAATAGATCTCCCACATGGGAGGTCAGTGGGGGGAAATGGGTTGCTGAAGTATTCCAAGAAGGCACAGCAGATTTAGGTCAGGGCAGGAGATCAGTAACATGATTAAGAAACAAGCAGCTGCAGACAAGCTCATGACAAGAAACTCAAACTTTGTAGGAAAGAATTAGATTAAAAAACAAACAAACAAACAAAAACAAAACAAAACAAAACATCCTGCTCTATTTTGAAAAGAAACAAAAAAATCTACAACAAGTCATGAATGATCGAAGTTCACCGATGAAGTGCATTTTAATAACTCCTTAGTGAGTGAACTAATACATGTATCTAGCATATATAGTTTGGCATCATTTACAGAAGAGTTACTGAACAAGTTGTGAAACTGTACTGTGTACATTTGTCTCTCAACAACGCACATCAACATAACATAAACTGGTAGAATAGTAGATGAATGCCAGGACATAAGGCTGAGCTTATAGAAACCCAAAAACTCCAAACAAACAAACAAACAAACAAATAAATAAATAAAAGTAAGCAAAATAGTTAGATAAGAGAAATAGAATCGATTCCTCCTAAAAAGGGCATATAAGATGATTTTGAACATAAACACAAAGTCGTAATAATTGAGAGTTTACACAGTCGGTACAGCTTGAAGAAAAGCACCCATCTTCACAATGCACGTTCTGCCATTCCTGGATTCATCAGCACATGAAAGAAACCAGAAGTACGTTCACAGAAGAACTACTAACAAACTATTCTAGCTTCTGTGGATTTATATTATGTTATTACTTTTAATTCTAGTAATGATTTACTGCTATAGAAGAAAGTTTAAATTTTTTCCTTCACTGTCATGACAAAGCCAGAGTCGGTGCTTAACACTGAGAACAGCCTTAAAAAATGGGTTTAGAACAGGACACAAAGTTAGATTTTTCTCCACAAGAAGGCAGTGTGGAGACACTTTATACTGTTTTTGTTTTTATGTCTGAGTTTTCAGTGTAGCTTCGGGTTGTTTTCCCAAAGCTGTCATTACTGTTTGACCGAAATTTGCAATTTAATTTTCTTTTTTAAGCGTATATACATGTGTACACAAGCAGAGAGTGACAACTGTATAAAAGTTAGTAGAAAAAAAAAAAACTTAAAAAGAGGACAGAAAAACCAGCTCTAACAAATCTTTTTTCACACTGTGCAGTTAATCAGCACTAAACCTCTCTGTATGATGGAAGATATCGCATCGTAAGGTTCTGGTACAAGAGGAAGTAGGAGTGGCCTCTGAGGACTCAGCAGTGCCCCATAGGAAAGTATCTCCAGTTGCTCCAACAAGGACCCGCTGCTGCAATAGTCAAGCCACAAGAGAAGTTGGATGCACTTTGGGAGAGCAAATGTAAGACAGGGAAACACTGCTGCACGACAATAGCTGGGAGAGAGGGGTGAGGAATAGTAGAGAAGCAGCCATGCAGGCACCTGAGTCAGTGCAGGAGGAGGGCAGGAGGTTCTTCAGGCACGGAACAGAAGCTCCCTGCAGCCAAGGAAAGGCCCGTGGAGGAGCAGGCTGTCCCTGCAGTGCATGGGCACCACACGGAGCAGATCTCCCTGTGCAGCCATGGAGGAGCCCGTGGTGCAGCAGTGGATGGGGCAGCGAGCTCCTGAAGGGGCAAAAAAAGTCCATAAACAAGTGGCAGAGATGAAGAGTTAAGGATTGACCACAGTCCCCATTCCTGATCCTCTGTGCCACTCAGCAGAAGATAGCAAAGAACAGATGAGGGGGAGGTTACTTTTCATTCTCACTGTTGTGTCTGTTGGTAATAAATTACATTATTCTCCCTACACTGGTTAGTTTTGCCTGTGACAGTAATTGGTGAAGGATCTCCCTATACTTATCTCAATCCACAAGCTCTATTTTCATTGTATTTTCTCCCCAACCTTTCTGAGGAGACTCGGAGGGACCTGTGAGGAACAATGTCTCTCTAGTAAACAAAACTAAGAAAGAAGCAAACAGAAAGAAGTCTGGTAGAGATGCACAATGGAAACAATGAAAGTGAATTCTTTTTGTGAAAGAGTAAATGAATACATATAAGGATTTTTATTTTTATTTTTTTTAAGTGGAATATCATCTGTGTAGCCCTAAAAATAATAAAAAAGTGTGAAAAAATATCTAAAACCCACAGACCAAGAGACTAAATATAGTTTATAATACTGAGCAATTACACAATATATTTGACCAATACCAAAAAAGAACAAAGAAACGGAGGGGTACTGAAGCATGCTTCCATTAAACAGTCTGCCCCTTAGATTTATGAGAACTAATCTTAACTCTTGCAAATAAAAACAAAATGTAAGAAATATTTAACTACAGTGATCAGATCACAGCAAGAATATGAAAGAAGAAAATAATTCAGACTTGTTACCAAACATAGAGAAAGAGCGTAAGTGAAACCCAAACCTATCACCAAAAGGCAGGTAAAAAACATAGTCTTCATGTCTTAAAGTTATACTTCAGTAACAATATATTTTAAAGTGAACATGAAATGCTTGACTTCTCATTTCTTTTGACTCCATATACTTTCCATATCAGACTCAAGAAAAAAAAAAATCAATTTCCAAAGATAACAGTTATTACATAAGCAGGTAGCTTCCTTACACTGTTGTACATTGAAGGCTTCTCTAGTCTGTTAAGAGCCCTGTGGCATAGCCTTACAGTTACCAGTGCTTAATAACTGTTAATAGTAACTCAACAGTTAACTTTAAAGTAATTGAAGAGTGATGAGTAAATAAACCCAGAATTAATTATTCTGAGACGGTTTTATCTTTTTCCTCTCTTGTTTTCTAATTGGGGAAATTTTTGAGTAACAAACAAATATTATTTAGAGACTACAGATTAAGCATAGTTTAAACTTTAAATTATGTTTTGAAAAACAAACACGTCTGGGACTTCCTGCATTTCCTGCATTGATTATGAGAATCAATACAAGTTCCTGTAGAGTGCTGACAACTCACTAGGGAAGATGTAAAGGTGAAACAGGTACATAATAGAGAATACAACTAATTTCCACTGTCAATCAAATAATGCAAACAATAAAAAAAAGCTATTTGATTCTGAATATTCAAGTAGATGTTAGAAGATTTTTCAGTGCCAACAATGAACACCAATGACAGAGGTAGATGATGATTGCTTCTTCATTGTGGGGTACAAAAATATAGTTCCAGTGTTACAGAAACTAGATAGTAAAAAACTTCATTAAGTAGTAAGAGCAGCAACCTAAATCTGTTTTCACTGGGTCTTCAAAAGTGGTCACATCTTTTGCATAATGTTACCCTGCTGTTATAATAGTAATGAGTCTACAGACAGGATGAATGTTTTTCCTTCACACAATTATTCAATGCATGGCTGCATGTCTTATGTGTAGTATGAAATCAAAACATAGCTTGGAATCCAAAATAAATTCCTCACCATCATTTTCATTAAGTCAGAGGGGTACCAGAATATTTTATAAGCAGCAGCACAAGATTCATGTAAATTTAATTTTCCATTTTGATTGTTGGCAATCTCAGACAGGTTTAGAACCAGTTGTCCAATGTGCAGCCAAATTTTAGATGTCTAAAGACCAGTGGTTGCTTTTTGTTTCTGAAGTGTTTGTTTGCTTTCCTTCTAGAACACTTATAAAGCAGTGATGAGTTACTTCTTCTTCTAGCCTGCTGTATACAGCACTTCAGAAAGTTTTGCCTTACCTATCTCAGTTTACACAACTTCAGAAAAGAACAGTTGTCTCAGTGTGCAGTGAACTGTCCACTACTGCCTCCGAACTTTATGGAAGGGAAGAGATCAGATTCAGTTTTCTAAGGAAAGAAACTCAAATAATCTTTTTTTTCTTTGTGAACAAGGATGCATCCCTCCAACTTCTCAACTGCGAGTGTAAGAAAGAAAGCGTTCTACAAAGCCTATTTTATACATTATGAAGAACTGAACTATTTCTCATGTACAACCCATTCTGTGCCTGAGGTGACGCAAGGAACTAAGAGTCATGAATCACATGTTTGACAAACAACTGCCATCCTGGTATTTCTAAGTTCAAAATCGAGTGCTCGATGTACAAACAGAATGCTAAACTACTTTAGGAAGCTTCGTAGTTTAAAAAAAAAAAAAACAAAAGTCAGTAAATTCGATAAGGGTGAGAGTTTGCCCCAACTTGTGCTCCAGCACCCAGTGCCAGTGGAACAGAGACTTGGGAGATCCTGAGGCTCAGGGCACAGAGCACCTGCACCCCTGGTGCATTTCCACTGCTTCTACACCGCGGTCTGCTCGGCTTCTGTCAGTGCCTCCGGCAAGACCGGCTCCCACTCCTGCGAGCAACGAGAGCAGTGATTTTCAGCGTCAGAAGGCACGGCCGAGCCTCTGAGGCGGCGCCAGCGTGACTCCCAGCACAGCCCTCCCGCCCCGCCTTCCCGGCCCCTCGCCTCAGCGCAGGGGAGACTCGTCGCCACAACGCCACCGCCACCTCCTCTTCCTCCTCCTCCTCCACCTCCTCCTCTTCCCTCTCCCGCCCGCCCCGGCCCCGCCGCAGCCGCCCGAGGAGCCGGGAAGTGCGCAATGCCGTGGGCCTCGCCCGCCCCGCCGCCAGGAGAGGAGGCCTCGGGGCGCCTCCCGCTCCGCACCGCGTCTGGCCGGGGGAGGGGAAGGGCAGCCCCGCCGGGGTCACTTACCCGCCGCCCGGGCTCCCCGCTCGACTCCGCAGCGGCAACCCCAGCGACCGCGAAGCGTCAGTGACAACGGGCCGGAACGGCCGCACCGCCACATCCGGGGGCGGGGCGGGGGAAGGCGGGAAGGCGGCGGGGAGCGGTGTGCCGTGTGCCCGGCGTGAGGCGGGATGGCGCTCGCCGGGCCCGCGGTCCGCGTGCGTGAGGGCGGGCGGCGAGCGGCCCCCCCCGTGGGGAGGACGACGACGACGACGACGAGGAGGAGGGGAAGAAGAAGAAGAAGAAGAAGAAGAGAGCTTCTCCGGGATCGCTCCGTGGCGGGGCTTCGGTGCCCGGCCTTGAGCGCTCGGCCTGCGGCGGTCCCCGGCGGGTCCTGCGGCAGCGCGCCAGCTGCCGGCGCGTCGGTGGGTAAGGCGGCTCCTCGCGGCGTGCCTCCCGCGTCCGCGGAGCGCCGGTGGGGGCACGGATACGATCGTCGTAGCGTGTGCTCTGTGTCTCAGCTGCTCGGTTTGTTTGCTTCTTAACAGGCGGCGAGTGGCGGCCAGGAACGGAGAATCCAGTTCACTGGATTTAGGAAGAAAGAGAAAAGAGCGCTGCGTGAGATGTTACTCAAGCTGGACTGTGTTTTTGTTAATAACAAGGTATTGTTTATCGAAGCACGTGATGGTTAAGGCAGAAAGGGAAAGCAAGCTATAAAGTAAAACACGGTGTAGTAATGTGCAGTTATGTATTAATAACAACAACAACAAAAAAGGTAAATGTTTCCATTGATAAAGCTGTTTTTGTGATTGCTTTGTTTTGTTTTTAACTAGAAATACAGGAATTGCACACATCTTATAGCAAAAAAGCTTTGCAAGAGTGAAAAGTTCCTAGCTGCCTGTGCTGCAGGTAAGTACGTTTGCTAAAATTTCAAGGAATCAAAACTAGAAAGGAACAATTAAACTCGGTTTTCATTTCATGAATTGCGAGTCACTTTAGTGGGGGCAGACTCTTTGCAGTAGTGTACAGCTGTAAAATAAGGGACGTTCTGTACTAAGATAAGGAAGAACTTCTTAACTGTCGGAGTATGGGAGTGCTGGAGCAGGCTGCCCAGAGAGGTTGTGGAATCTCCTTCTCTGGAGATACTTCAGAATCAGGACCTGGGGGTCTTGACAGATGAAAAGCTTAACATGAGCCAGCAGTGTGCTCTTGCAGCTCAGAAAGCAAATGCTATCCTGAATGCTATCAGAAAAGGGGTGGCCAGCAGGGACAAGGAGGTGATTGTCCCTCTCTACTCTGCTCTTGTGAGGCCCCATCTGGAGTACTGTGTCCAGGTCTGGAGCCCCCAGTCCAAGAAAAACAGAGAGCTGTTGGAGAGTGTCCAGAGGAGGGCCACAAAGATGATCAGGGGACTGGAGTACCTCCCCTATGAAGATAGGCTGAGGGAGCTGGGCTTGTTCAGCCCAGGAGAAAAGAAGGCTGCAGGGTGACCTCATTGCAACCTTTCAGTACCTAAAGGGAGCCTATAAACAGGAGGGGAGTCAACTCTTGGAAAGGGTAGATAACTGCAGGACAAGGGGAAATGGTTTTAAGTTGAGGGAGGGACGATTTAGGTTTAATGTCAGGGGGAAGTTCTTTACAGAGAGAGTGGTGAGGTGCTGAAACAGGCTGCCCAGAGAGGTTGTGGATGCCTCGTCCCTAGAGGTGTTCAAGGCCAGATTGGATGGGGCCCTGGGCAACCTGGTCTAGTATTAAATGAGGAGCTTGGTGGCCCTGCCTGTGGCAGGGGGGTTGGAGCTTGATGATCCTTGAGGTCCCGGTTCCAACCATTCTGTGATTCTGTGACTCTAGACCCGTCTGTGTACCTACCTGTGTGACCAGCTGTAGGGAATCTGCTTTAGCAAAGAGGTTGGGATCAATCTTTAGAGGTCCCATCCAGCCCTTACGATTCTGTGATCCATGGAATTACAGAAAACACCTTTTCCTTTTTTCTGTTACTCTTGTTTAAGCTTAGGTTTACCTTTTTACTTTATTCCAAAGTGATATCCCAGTGTCTTTTTTTTTTTTTTTTTTAATTGATCCTCACTTGTGCCTAGATAAAAGTCTTCCTATGTATTAGTTACATCATGAAGTCTTATCCAAAGATTATAAGTGCTTAAAAACAGCTTCTCTATTCACAAAGAAGTGAAATTGCTTCTGACTGGTTCTTGGTAATATCAGGCAAGGTAGTCACTGGTAGGCCAATAGTCATATACAAAAAGAAGAGTTGAACCCTCTCTGGCTATGTAGAACTCCTCAGAAAGCAGCCTGGATCCAAGAGATGCTTTGCCTTCAGTGGCTGGCCCTTATTTGAGCCCAGAGTGTCTGCACCCTGGGTCCACCCTTCTGGTCAGACAGGGAGCACAGGTACAAACATGTTGCCTTTACTCCCTGGAGCAATCACATCCCTTCACCGGCTGTTAAATCATCAGTTTAAGTCGTGACCTAATACTTTCCCTACAACAGCTCACTTGAAGGGAGTGTGGAGAAAGAGTTGTAACAGATGAGTAGATTTTTTATACCAAACTCAGTGCAATGTTCATTGTATTGTTGAAAGATCACTGTCACAAAGTTTCTGCTTACACAGCCACAGAGAACTACAGATTCTTGCTGCTGCCATTTTACTGACACAAGTCTCTTCTCATTCTTCTTGCTCTTTTTTTACCTAGGTTCTGATGCTAAAATGCTATGGTCAAGCAACTAAAAGTGCATTTAAAATGATAATTATTTAAGATTTGTTTTAAAATATGTTTCCTGGAAGAATTTTGTGATAAATTTAGAGAATTTTATGGAGTTGAAATATTTCACGGTCCTGATTTATTGACTGTTTAAATGTTATCTTTACTTTTTCCATATTGTATTATAACAAATTGATAAAGCAGTTATTGGGCAGGATTCACTTGAATTGAGGAGATTATAGATAGAAGTATCTAAATGTGGATTTGTGTATAAGGATACCTGAAAAATGAATGATTTTATGTTTACACTTATATACTATATTTGCAAGCATTCTTAGTCATCTACTGCTGCTCAAATTTAGGAATACATAGATTATTACTTGTAGCAGTCCAAAATTCTGATCAAACTGATATCAGAGAGTAGATGATAGACCAATATTTTCATGAGAGAAAGAATGTTAAAACATGGATAAATTTCTGGTATAGCATTTCATTTTAACTCTTAAAACTACACATTTTAGATGTCAAATCCATCTATTTCTAGTTTTGGAGATTTAAACAAATGGACACAGCTACCTACTTGCTAATGCAAAACTTTTATATTTCTATCTTTACAAACTTTCTCAAGTACCTTTTAGTACATCTTAATCTGGGAGAGGCACCAGTTTTGCATAATGATTATTCTTACCTTTGATAACAGAATGTGTTCATTCCTACTGTGATTTTTTTCCTGTGACCGCATTTAAACCTGTCTCAGTGAGTGTAAATACTGACAAGGATGCCAGTCCTCATGAAGTCCCCAGCAGAACAAATTTTTGACATAGAATTTTCAAAATGAAAGAGATTTTTAATATTCAGGTTGTGCATAGCGTACCTGTTGCAATCAGAAGTCTGCTGGTACCTATGCTAGGCTATATAGAAGTACCATTTGTGCATCCGCACTGAGACGTTTTGCCAGTCAACCCTGCTGCTCTGTGAAACCAACTAAGTTCACACAATTCAAGTCAATTTCTCTTTCAGTACCTTCTGTAGGTACAGGTTACTTAACCACAGCTCTTGACCTGAGCCCTTAAGAATAGAGAGACAGAGAGAAAAAGGGGAAGATCGTTATATGCAGTATCAGAAGCATACATGCAGAAGATAAAACAAGAGAGGTGGAGGAGGTGGAGCCAAAGGAGGAGAGGAAAAGATTGAAAGAAAAAGACAAATGTGTAAAACTGTGTCCTGCTAGTATTGGCATTCGCTATACTTGTGGTGTTAGTAAAACAGCTTGCGTGTTAAAAACATCATCTTTATTTACTTATTTTTAATTGTCAGAGGCAAAATATTTCTTCAGTGTATTGAATTAATCCCTTAGCAAAAAAAAAAAAAAAGGGATCCCAAATGCGCTTCGACGACATTGTTACATATCAAAGAAGTGCACCAAATGCACCTCAGATCTGCCTAGGTAAGTCTGTAAATTTTCAACTTCTATGAAAAACAAAGGGTTGAGCTAAATTCTTTGTAAGAACAAAATCTGGGAAGTTGAAATCTTCCCTTTGCAGACAGACGTGTAGTTCATCTGGGAAGGGTAAAAAGGTACTTGATCATTAAAAGAAAACAAAATGATCGTTTTCAGTGGTATTGTGAAATTTCTGAATTTAAAGCGTAAAGATGAGAACTCTTGTAATAGGAAGAAGTTCTTCAAATGGTACTTGTAATTCCAGTTTTTTTTTGCAGAAGAGAAGTTTAAGTTAATTTTATAGTAGATCTTCAGTTGATTGCCATTTGTCTGCGCTAAAAAATCTTTTGTGGTTGACAGTTCATTTGCTTTTTAGGAAAGTGGATACTAACTAAGGAGTACATAATTAATAGTGCCGAAAGTGGCAGATGGCTTGATGAAACAACATACGAATGGGGATATAAAATTGAAAAAGACACCCATTATTCACCTCAAATGCAATCTGCACCTAAAAGATGGCGCAAAGAGCTGCAAGACTCTGGTGCTCCAGGGGCCTTCCACAGATGGAAAGTTATCCTCGCTGTTGAGGAAGGTTATGAACAAGTGGCACCTATTAGAAGGTAGGAGAATTTGTTTTAAAGTTTAATATGAACAATAGAACCATGTGGTTGAGCAGGTCTTCTTCCGTTCCTATTAATCTGGTCCATAACAACCTCTGGCTCTTCAAACTCTCAAGTCATTTTCATCAATATACTTCCATACAATTTATGAAAAAAAATAAATCTTTAGTTCTTTGGTATCACTGCTTTTCTAGGTTTCTTTTAGTATAGTGGTAAATATAATAGGCATTATTTTGTTTTAGTATCTTAAGTAAACTGCTTACAGAGACATTCCTCATGGGATGAGGTAAATAAGTTTTCACTTTTTCAGAGCACTGCTTTATTTTTTTTACATATTGCGTTCAAATGGTAGTCAGAACAACTTACACTATCTCAATTGGTTGGAAGACCTTGGCTAGCTTTGAGCTACATCATAAGGATCTGATCTGCTGTTATCTTGTTTTATGTGTTTGACATGTATGCAAAAGCCATTTGTAGTTTTGAAGACCTAACTTTTACTGAAATGTTTCTGATATAGTGTAAATGCAGATAGTTCAGAAGGGAATGGATAAAAATATGAAGGAAATAGAAAATAAATGATGTGTGAGAAATTTGGGACTTTTTTTTTCCATGTTCTCTCTACATCAGCAAGACAGGTTGAAAAGAGGGTCTCTTTTTAATACTGCTTGCCAGACACCAACAATTGGGATCCTTTTATTCTGTCGGAATACACAAAAAGATAGACATTTTTTGCCTTTAGCACATATTACCTTGTAATAAAGGCCACCATAGCTTTGAGGAAAAAGTGATATTTCTATAATAGGAGAGCTGCTTCTGAAAGTAATGCCTCCTATTTTATTATATTGGCCCACAACATCAGGCAGATATTGATGGTACAGCAGTAGAGGTTGAACCTGTCCATCACTATCCTCTTACATGTTGCTGCCATGTGACAGATGGTAGCAGAGAAGCAATCTGACAGAATGGTATCTGACATGGAAGTACATAAGAAGCAAAGGTGAATTCTTCCATGAGTGAAAAATGGCGCCCATTGACATTAATCAATGCTTGCTGAATGTTTAAGGAGACCAACAAACAGTGAATTTGAGCACCGTGAGGAACTGCGTGCTGGAATTTCAGCAGTGGAAACATGAAACATGAAAGGCAAGCCACATTCTAGATGGCCATGCACAGCTGTCACACTATGAAATGAAAAGTATCTCAATCAGTTCATCCAGACAAATTGTTAGATTACAACCAGGGAAGTGTGTACAGAACTGAACATCAGCTTCAATGCATTGGAAGTTATGGTGGCAGCATTGAATCATCACAAAGTTTGTGCCACACATGTTCAAACAGCAAGAGAAAGAACACGTATGCGAGTTGGTCAGGACTTACTGAGCTAATACAAGAAGGTTTCCCAGGTCACATCATTACCTGTGACAAGATGTAGTGACCACTATGAGATGGAGTAAAAACTGCAGTCCATGGAGTGGCAACATGTGAATTCTCCATCAAAGAAAATGTTCAAGATGTAGCCCTCAGCAAGTATAATATGTGTATTGTCTTTTGGGATAAAAGAGGGGTGATCCTTCTGGATTTCTTGGAACCTGGACAAACCATTAGCTCTGATCGCTACATCATGACGCGGAGTAAGCTGTAGGCTGAAACGTTCAGAATCAGACCAAAGAAGAATATCTTTCTCTTGAAACACAATAATGCCAGGTCCCATACAAGTTTGAAGGCCATGGAATACACTGCCAATCTAGATTGTCCTGCTGTACCAAATGTATAGTCCAGAATTTGATGTCTTATGACTTCCATCTGTTCAGATCAATGAAAGATGGACTGTATAGGCAATGTTTTCCTAGCAACAGTGCTGTCATTAGCAGCTTTGAATCAGTGGATCGCCTCTACTGATAGATTTTTGCAAGTGTGGCATGCAGACTCTTGTTTGTTGCTGGCGAAAATGCATAGCTAATACTAGTGACTATGTGAAAAAGAGTGTTTTGTAGATGAGAATTTGCTCTATCGAATAGTACTGTTGTGCTCTTTGTATCTCTGTTGTAGTTTCCATGGTGGCAACAGTTTACAGGGTGGTTTGGCCCAGTTCCATGACTAATGGGGTGAGGGGATCCATGGACCCACAGCTTAGGAAAGGGAAAAAAAGAGAGTGGTTAGTTAGGGGAATGGGCCTAAAACAAAACAGCAGCAACAATCTGAGGAGGAAAGTTAATGTATTAAATATGATATTGGAATGCAAGATAACACAATATAATACAATACAACACAATTGAAGTTAATAAATAAAATGAATGTCTAAAAGAAACCAAAGGCCCTACTGTAATGCTGAAGGTGAGCACACACACTGCTGGGATGAACTGAAAAGGAAGAAGAGAGCCTTGTGATCTGCAAAGTTTTTATCTTTCCCTCAGAACGGAAATGCAAAGTACCTGGAAATATCGGCAGTCCGTGGAACTGAAGCATTAACTCTTTAACTCACAGTGCACTACATGATGTTATGATGTGGAATACCAATAAAAAATTATAAAACCCTGACACATGGAAATAAATAGGAGGCATTGCTTTTGGAACAGCCTGTGAAGTTGGCAAACAACATCGTGAAGATAGCATGCTATAATCTGGAAAGGCAGCATTCCATTTTTGGTACTTAGCTGGTAGCACAACTCTTAAATGAAAGATCAAATATCATCATAATGCAATAACTTACAAATGCTGTCATCTAAGAATTTGACTTTTTTAATGCACAAATGAAGCTTTATGTCAGATACGTAAGATGCTTACACTGATTTTAATTAATAGTATTAAATTGTCAAGAGAGGTATCTTGTTAAGTGTTTTCCTTCTGTTTCTCATGGCTATTAAGCAGTTTTTTAACTTCCTGATGAAAGTTGGGAAATGTCATATAACTACATTCTCATATTTATAGTTTATGAAAATTAATGTGACTTTAAGCACTATGAATAAAATGCAGTAAATAACGTCTTTCCAAATCTGTTTGTTTAGAGTTCTAGAAGCTGGAAAGGCAACTATGTGTTCATCTCAGAATGTCGAGAGTGATATCACTCATGTATTCGTCCTTAATAAATTTTTTTCTGTGCAAAAAGAAAAATGCTTCTCTGAAGCTCAATGCTACCCTTTGCAATATATAGGAGATTACCTTTTGGAGGTAAGTAAATTGAAAAATGTACCTAAAATCGCTTGCATCATTACATTTTATGTCAGGTTTACTGACTCTATGATGCAGCGTTAATAATAATGGGGGATATGATATGTTTTGAAATTTGATAAAAAGTAATCAACTGTCAAGTACTAAGACAACTCATCCTAGAGTAGAGAAAGTTTAGGGAAGGTTTCGTCAATGTGTATAGGTGCCAGAAGAGAGAAGTACAGAGAGAACAGAGCCAGAAGAGAACAGAGCTCACAAGAGACAGTGAGCATAAAGTGGCACAGTAAAGGTTTCCTCTGACCATGAGGCAGCACTTCTGCTGTGTGAGTGGTGCTGAACTGGCACAGGCTGCCTGCGAAGGTTGTAGAATCTCTTCCTTGGAGATTCTCAATTGCCGCCTCTACATAGTTCTTGGCAGCATGATTCAAGAGGCTTTGAACCAGGTGGATCCAGAGCTACCCTCAAGCTCGACACCAAAGAGGCATGCTTTATTTCTGCTCCCTCTGTGTTCCTTCTTCACTCCCATTGTGTGGTGAGTGAATTGGACTTCAGGGTGAAGTTCAAATATGAAAATATGAAGTTGAAATATAGTTGACCATCAGATAAATGGTTCAAAAAGTTATTCATAAAACACCAATAAAAATCCTACTTTTTATTTATATTCTCCTCATTTTGGTAATGATTTAAAACATGTAGTATTTATGTCTGTCTGTCTATGTCATAGGATGGTTAAGCTTGGGAAAGACCTCTTAAGGTGATCAGCTCTGTCTATTAACCAATCACCATCATGCTCACTAAACTATGACCCTAAGAGCCACATCTACATGTTTTTTTCTGTGGAGGTGTAAGCATTTTTTCTGGGTTTGATGTTCACTGTTAAATAAGGTTTTAATGGCTTTATGCTTCAGTATCAATTATTTTGTTAACTACCTTCAGTTATTCTACCTTTCAATTTATAACATTACAGTCTATAGTAAAACAGTAAGATTGATACTCTTAACCCAAAATAAATTAGCTTGCAGTCCTTCATGGCTTGGGAAGAGGTGGTGCTTGCCATATAAATTTTCTAACAGAACTGTATGTTGGTCAGAGGAGATTCACTCAAAACTACTTCAGCACTAGGAATCTTACAGAAGTTGTTTACCTACATTATCTTTTCAATCAAGACAGAGTGTTGCTACAGGAATTATGCTTCCTAAAATAGTTTTGTTATCTGCTATCTGAACATACTTTTAATTCTCCCTTAATGCAGAAGGATCAATTCATATTTGAGGACAGTTACTATTAACTCTACTAGAGCATGGGACTGCAGTCCCATCAACTGATATGCTAAGGCAAGAAGGCCTAGATAAAAATGGAGGTACCTCATTTGAAGGTAAAAGCCATACTGAAAGTCATCTTGCCAGAGAGTTTTTTTCGAAATGACAAAGCCAAGTGAAATATCCAATACAACATAAGATTGTTCAGAATGTGATGTTTATCATTCAGCTTCTAATGAAATCAGAATAAGTTAAATTCACAGTGGTGAAAAAGTAGAACAGAAAAACCAGCCTAATTCTGTCTTTCATTGTTCTTCCTGAACTATGAGAGGAAATGACACTGCTCAGTGATTATTCTCACTTGCCCAGTACTCACTCTTTCTTTTCTATTCCCCCTTTGAAACTGAAAGAAGCATCTCATAATTCATAGTCCTTTGTTTACTGTGACCAATATTACCCTCTTTTACAGACTATTTTGATGTGAAATTCTTTGTGGGCTGAGACCATGACCTTGATCCTCATTCTTTACTGTATTCATTCTTCTTTCCATTCTGGACTGCTGGTCTATTTTGTATTTTTTTTTCCTTCTTAAATCCAGGATTTATTCCTTAACTGAGGCATGCACAATTCAGACTGATGAAAGTAGGAGTGGTGCCAACATTGTTCAACTTTATAATGAATGAGTAGAAATCTAGTGATAGCTACAGAAAGGCTAGATTTTAGATTTTAAAGGTGCCTGGTCTGCAAAGGATCAATTTGCCATTGCTTGACATTACTGAGGGACCACTCAATTACTGGTTTTGAACAATGTTCTGGCAGAAGTTGATGGATTCATTCTGTTTGGAAGGTGGATGTGAAGGAGGGTGTTTAAAATTCACCAAATGAAAAAGTAACTGATTCTTTAGCTTCTATGGTTATGTATAGCTATGTCCTTCTCCAGAGCCATGTAGAAAGAGAGAAGAAAATAAAGAGAGGTTTAGCTCCCTAAGTTCTACTATAAACTGTAGCGTTCAGTTTGGTGAAATCTTTATGTATTTTGGGTATTAGATTTCTGGTATGAATATCTGTCCTTTGACACATTCCAATTTGGACAAATCACCAGTATTTAAGCTTAAAAATCAGGAAATTCTCAAGTCAACTGAAAGTTACATTGTGGGAATATATTTTCTATATCACCAACTTTGGCACAAAATAGTTGGCTTGTGAACTAGTTTCGGGCTTACACAATAGGTAGATTTCCAGTATATCTTAAGTACAGACAGAAAGCCTTGACGTTTTGAGGAAAACGCTATCTTGAAAGGAACTTAGGAAAAGGCCAAATATCAGCAAAGGTGTGTACAAGCAAAACAGAAAACCAATCTTTCTTTTTCACAGAAGTGCATTGAATGTTCTATGAAATTGTGTGCTTTCACAGTTCACAATTCCCACTTCTGTTTTTTCTGGCCCTTCATTTAGGTCATGTTTATAATGCCATGAGAGGTGTCATGTACTTGCGTCTCTCAGGAAATAGAGTTTACCAACCAGGAGAGAGTCACATGCACTATGCAGAATTTCGTAACATTTTGTCTTAGAAATACTCAAAGGACTGAAAAAAAATCCTATAGATTTGTAGTTCCTCAGAGTGGGGGATGATTTTAAGGAACTGCTAAAGAGAAAATGTTGCCCTTGCGAACAGGTAGATGCTAAACCTGTGTTTGTTGTTAGGCAGCATCTACTTCCGAAATTGCTTTGCATTCTTCAGATCAAAGCATATATTTTGCTCTTCCCTTTTTAATGATGAATAAAGCTGTTGGAAAGGGCAAAAAATGGGTAAAAGAATCCTGGTGTTTACGTGCTGATTAAAACACTTCAACATGGGAGCTCAGTCTAGTGTCATACTCTCTTATTAAACTTGTTTGGAGAAATTACTCTGTATGACAGCTCTCGGCTAAGATAGCTCTCTGCTAAGAAAGACATTTGATGTAGGAAGTGTGTGTCCAGTATTTATGCTTATCTCACCTTTTAGTGATCATAGTGAGAATAATTTCTTTCTTGCTGTGAGCCCTGAATCCATCTGAAGTGCAATAATAGTGTCCCATCTTAACACATCCATTAATTTACAGATCTCTTTTTTTCCTAGATCTCAATAAACTTGAGACCAGTTTCTATTTAAATGCATCTTAAGAATTCAGAAAACTGCCATGATACTTTGTCTCTTAAAAGGACAAGAGTCAAACATAGGCACAACATTTGTTCAGATGTCTTAGGCTTTAACAAAATAGAGTTATGAACATGCTCTTTTTTTCATTTCTAGAAATACTTGGCATATATTTTATTAGGACTTAACTTAAAATGTTCCAGCTTTGTAAATCTGTAGTCCTGCTTTTTTGCTGCTAATCCTATGAGAATTACTCTCTTCATATACACACAAATGTACGTCCTATCCTTTAGCACTCAAAAATCAGATGTTAAATTGCGTGAAGCAGCGTGATATTTTTTTTTTTTTCAAGTAGAACTGTATATAGTCATAGGCATTCGGATGATTTCTATTTTTTTAAAACTATGCTTTGTTTTGTCTCTGTATTTCAGTATCTATATCAACCTTGTAACTCTAGTGCTAAAATACCCTGTGGGATTATCTTCAATCCTTTAACGTGTTGCTTCTACTGATTCAAGATATTAAAGCGTGTGCATGATTTTAGAGCACTATCCTTGTATTTAAATACAGACTTTAAAATACTTTGTTCGCTGCACTATGGAATTTATAACGCTTTGCCAAGATGGTACTATAAGTTATCTAAATACAAGTATTTTTAGAAATGTGTTGAAAACAACATGCATAAAGTTTCACAGGAAGTAAAGACTAGTTAATTTGTCAGAGTAGTTCACTTATCCTTGGTTCATCAAAACTGTTTAAAGCAGTTTTCCAGTACTTCACACACCAGTTACTGTCACAAACACACTTGACTTAAAGAAGACTAATTTCTTGCCAATTACTAGGACTGCTCTGAAAGTAGTGCCTCCTAATTTATTAAGTTGACCCAAAACATCAGAGATAGATTTGGTGGTATGGCAGTATCCCATTACTTTGTTGTTGTGTGACAGATGGGAACAGAGCAGCAGTCTGACGAAATGGTGTCAAACATAGAAAAGCAGATGAAGCAAAGGGTGACGTTGAATTCTTTCATGTGTAAAATATGGCACCAGCTTGCACTGATGCTTGCGGAACATTGATGGACTTCAAACAGTGAATGTGAGCACAGTGAGTTGTGAACACAATGGTGTGTTTCAGCAGTGGTGACAGTAGGTCATCTCCACTGGTGCAGATTGTTATGAGCACAGCAGGCAGGTTCTTGTTCATCACTGGTGAAAATGCATAGCTAATGGTTGTGTCTGTTGAAAAATAGTGTTTTGTAGTTGAGAATTTTATCAAATAGTCTTCTTGTGCTCTTTGCATCTGTTGTAGTTTCCATGGAAGTTAAGAGGAAGCATTACTTTCAGAGCAACCTCCACAATAGAGTAAAATAATGAGAGCCAGCACCTTTACCTCACTCATCCCTTCTTCTCACACTGAGCTTTGTTCTTGAATCTTCTGCCTCTTCTCTAGAGGTGTGGGTGGTTAGGAAGCATGGATTGTGTTTAGACTGTAATGTTTTGTTTCTCTTGTGCTTTCCTCTTCATGCCCCTAAGGACCCTCCCATGAGATGCAGTCCTTCACAAGCTGCTCCAGTATGGGTACCCCATAGGCTGCAGTTCCTGATAGGAGATTTCATGGGCTCTTCGATGGGCTGCACTTGGAGATTTGAATTCTGTGATTCTATCTGCACCACACAGTGCCCATAGGCTGTGGGTGGATAGCCTGCTTCACCATGGGCTTTTCTTGGGCTGTAGCGAGCTTCTGCTTCATGCCTGGAGCACCTCCTCCCCTCTTTCTGCACTGACCTTGATCCTTGTAGGGTTTCTTCTCTCTTGTTTCTCACCCCATTTCTCTTAGCTGACATTTCACATTAGTTTTCCACTTTTTAAAATACGTTATCACTGAGGACTCAGCCTGGTAGCAGCAGGTCCCTATTGGAGCAGCTGGAGTTGGCTCTGATCTGACAAGGGGCAGTTCCTTGTCTGTGTGCTCTCACAGTGGTCACATGTGCAGATGTCCTTTCTACCAAAATCTAACTATGTGAACTCAAAGCAGACTAAAAAGAAGAAGCTGTTTTATTCTTACTCTGTTAACATAAAAAACCCTACAACTTCTAAAATTTGAATTACTAGCTTTGTACATCCTTAATGCTAACAACTAATAGAAAAGATGTGGTTTTATTTTTTGAAAAGTCCTGAAAGGGAATTATTATGGAAATAGTTCTTGTTTCAGAGCACAGATGGGGCCAGAGTTAAAGTCAATTAGGCAAATAACTTCCACTGGTAGTTCTCATGCTGTAACTGCTTGTGACATCAGTGATGTGTTTCCACAGCTGTTTGTGTGTCACATAGTATTAACCCTCAAATTTGAATAAGCACGCATGTAAACAATGATTTTACAATAGAAGGTAAGAAAATATTTCAGCACATGAAAGCTAATTAAAAGCATTAGTTTTGAAATTAAAAAGTGATGTTTTGTTTTGTTTTGCTTTGCATAGAAGGATATACAAAATACCGAAGTTACCCAAATTAAGGGTTTTCTGCCAGCACAAGAAACTGACAGAAACAAGTCTAGTATGCAGCTTATTGAAATGAAAAATGCTGTGATAAAACAAATGTATTTTGTTGAGGTAAGTGACATTTAGTTTATACTTTCTTACCATAAATTGTGAAATATATATAATGAAATTTATCCTTCAGTATAGATGCTGAGCTAATTAACTAGATATTTGATCATCCTTTGTAGTAATAATGCCATTTAATAATTATTTATTTACTACATCTACAATTAACCAAAATAAAATTTGATAGTTGTAATTGGGAGTTGTGGATGTGTGGAAGATATGGTAGACTTCGAAATCTTGGTACTTTCCCAGTACTTCTTGCTGGTAGGGCAGTGAAAGAAGCCAAAGAGACCTTGACAGTGTACTAGCACTGTTCATCAAGGGCTAACACCCAGGTACACTATCAGCCCTGTTTTGATCACAAATTCACTACATCATAGTATGCTATAAAATGCTATAAAGAAGAGGAATCTACCACATCCAAAACCAGTGCAAGTTTATAACAGGTGTACCTCTTAACAGATTATTTTCTCTTCAACTATTATGTAGTTATGTCCAAGGAGAGTAATTACAATCCTAAGGACAGTGTCTCCTAAAGGACTTTCTCTGGAAATAGGCGTTAATAACTTTGTAACAGTGAGCCGTAACTAGCTGTAACAGGAATTCCTGCACCTACTATACATCACTTTCTGGGCGATTTGTAAGGGGTACCCAGGGTTTACATTTTGTCATTGAAAAACTGAAAGTACTTTTACTTTCAAATGGTTAAGTGGACCAAATATAATAAAGCTAATAAAAGTCACATAACAACTGCATAAAAAAGAAGCAGAAAGTAACAGGAAAACCGAAGAACTGACCGTATATCAGTTCCCTATTTCTTGATTTTGCCATCTAAATATTAAAAAGATAAATACAAATAGGTTGTTTTGTTGAATGTTTAAAAAAATGTATTTTTTAAAAAATTGTCTTTTTGTCTTCTTTTTGTGCTCTATTTATAGATTTTGTACAGGTTGAATTTTTCTTGTTTTGTAGGCTGCTAAACAGAAGTTTGCTTGTAAAGACTTTCTGAATAGATGCAATCCAAAGGTAAGGATTCTTGCAAAGAGCACATGTTGCACTTACGAAATTTTGTACTGAAGTTAGTTAAACACACTTCTATTGTGAAATTTGCTATTTAAGAAATACTTTTTAAAGTGTATTAAAGTTACTGAAAAGTTAAGAACATGATGGGATACTGATTAATTTGTTTATTGTTCCAGTCTATTGTTCAGTACTCCACTACTGCCTACCTCTCATGAGGAGAGAGAGGCAGAGGATGGTAGAGGTAGGATTGTGCAGTTTAGTTCATTTCTCATTTTTCTTTCCATTAAGCCAAATATGTATCATATTTTATCAAGTTTTTGTTTTATCTTAAGTAAATAAATTCTTCCAAAATATTCCCTTTTCTATCTCTAAGACTAAAAATGAATTCTTTAAATAAATTTGTTGAAACATTCTCTCTCAGTACTTTTATCACTGTAAAGATTAAACATGGGAAATACTTAAAGCATATCTATTAGCTTGGTGCATTTTTTTGTAGCTGAAGACTCATTTTCACCCATACTAGGTACTTAGTTATTTGGCATAGAAATGAGGTCCCACCCTTCACAGAATTCCCTTTTTATCTAATTTCTTTCTATTGAAGGGGAAGAGAAGAATATTTTTAAACATAAGCATCAACATTCCTTTGTTATTGTCCTACACTGTAATGTTAATATTTAGTTTAGTGAGTTTATGAGGCAATAAAAGTTGAGATTTCATAACGCTTCTGAAAATAAATTATTATTCTGCACCCAATATAATTTTTAATTTGGATTTTTTTAATCTAATTCTAATTATTTATGTAATATGTATATGTTACTGTTTTTTATTGCTTTGTGAAATATTTATTGCTAGCCTTTGCATCCAGTGTGGGTCTTTTATTGGTAGTATATTTAGATCTGTTAAACACTGCTCTAATATGGTTCCAGTGAGTATTTCCAATTGTATTGGAAAAGTAAAAAAAAAAATCTGCAAACTAAATTAACTGATTAGAGCTATGTGTTATATTCAGTCATATTTTGCTTTTGCTGGTTCCGCTATCATTCATCTTCTCTGTTGTTTTTAATATATTTTGACAGCATCTCTTCTGCATTTTGCTTTCTAAACAGAGCTTATTTTTATGCACCTTCATTTTCCATTTGTTTCTGCTCATAGTATTAGTGCTTGTACTAGTAGTTCTATACAAGAAACTACTAGTTCCTCATCAGCCAGACTGCCAACCAAAGTAGCTTTGTACACAGCTTACAAAATATTGAGGCCCTCCAAAAGTGTCTCCTATTACTGCAAAAACTCCACCTCACCAGTTTTCTGTCCTTCCTTAACCCTTAAATAAGATGAAAATTAATTCTGCGCTTTCCTCCTGTTTTAAAAGTAGTGCGTAATTCCTGAAAGTCTCCCAAAAGAGGATTGTTTTTTCTTGAATATTTTTTTAAGTGTACTTTACAAATAAGGTGTGAATGACGTCTTTATTTTCTAGTGTCAGAACTTTCAAGAAATCTAAGTTTTAGGCAGAAGGTAGGAGGATCTGCTGGTATTATCACCAGATTGTCACCTTGGTTTATACCTGCACAAAATACTAAGTCATCTTCGCACATCTTACCTGCTATTAAACACTTTATGATTGTTTTTTAGATGTGCTGTTTGCATATAATTAACATTACAAATGTATGATTGCAACTGTTATTTCCAAAGGAAATAATGAGAAGATTTTTATAGTGCATACACGATTGATAAAATTGAAGTAAATGTGAATTGCAAACATCAGATGCACAACGATTTAATTAAAATAATCTAAGTATGCATTTTTATTTATCGTTAATACAGCAGCAACATATGTTAGGCATCTCAGAATTGCAGCATTTGCAAAGAAACTAAATATCTGATGCTAAGGTAGAGCTTATTTACTGAGACTTTTGCTGAGATTTAACTATGATTATTGTTTCTTTCAGAAGCTCGTATTCAGGTTTGACCTGAGCTCTTTCTGTTTATTACTAAAACGTTTCTGGGAACTCTTGCTAATAGTAGAGAACTCCATGATCTCAAAACCACAGTAGGACTTGAAGCCTGTATTAATTTTAAATTAACTTTGAATCGATTGGTAGAATGTCTCAAGTAGTTTTGCCTACTGCTCAGTAGGAGCCAAATTTCATGGCAAAGGGTAGTGAAGTCTGCTAGATGTTAAGGGACTAAAGCAATAGCAAATCTGCATAACTTTAATTTCCAGCAGGTCAATCACTGTTCTCCTTTTTTGACTCTACTTCTCTTGGTTGTGAATCCCTACTCTTGTTTTCCAGTGTACTTGAATTTATCAGAACCTCAGGTCATGTGGTTGAACAAAGGAGCTGAATTTCAAAGCTGAAATTTTCATCCGCAATGTGTTGTAACTGGCTTATGCATCTTAGCTTTGATTTTGAAGGAGGGATGTAAATAGCAACATGGTTAAGATCTTCAGTAGCTACTCTTTCATATCATTTATCAATGGAAAGAAAGTTTTTGAAAGCTGAGAGTTCAGACATTAACAGGTAAATTACAGGGCAGATACTGCATTTCAGGAAAACCATTACATTCTTCTGGGTCCTCTGAAAGCTTGTGGAATCTATAGTTTCACTGTTCTGAGTGGCACAGAATAGGAGGGAAGTCTTGTGCCATTAAGAAGATCTTCAGAGCTTTGAAATACACTGGGATCAGCACCTGTGCTATCTGAAGCATTAGCTGCTTCTTTGACATGCCCAGTGATTACAGGAAAAGTAGGGAGATAAAATAGATATATTGCTTGTATTTTTTGAAGTTTACTCATAAATGATGTATTTCATGGTTTTATATTTTTGCTCGGTTTTCTTTAGCTGTTTGATGATAGTAATTATCTTAGTGCTCCAGCCATACTCTGTAGGATGTACTTGTACATGTTTGGAAAAATTAGCAGTTATTCTTATGCACAAATTCTCAGAGTAAGTTACATCCAAGCCACAGGGTATGTGAATTGTAGTTTGTGTTTTAAAAGAGTAAATGTATTCAGGTACTCTCAAGAAGGGAAGCACATTCTGAAAGCATTTTCTTGTCAATGAAAAACCAGCTCAGTAGGAAATTAGGTTTCTCTAGATTGCAGTCGCTCATTGGTAATATTTATGTTGTATTTTTTAATGTTCTCCTGTATATTGCCCACATTTACTTAAAAGATTTCATGTTGTGTTTTTTTTTTTTTTAATTGAGTTCATACGTATGTCTATTACTCTGTTATTTTATTTACAGATATATTTCTTTCACAGGTTAAAAATACTAACCTATCCAGAGGCAGATTGTATGTATTTGAAGAATTAATACAAGAGCATTTATTATCTGAAGTGATTACAGAACTTGCTGTTGGTCAGAAGTACTCTTTACCTCCCGTTAAACTTTTTCATTCTCTTCTAGAACATGTCCTGTTGGTGAGAGCAAGATGCTTTAGTATTACAAAAGACTAAAATATTATAAATGTTTAAGATGGAAGTATTATTATCTTTGCTTCTTACAGTATGCTTACAGCTTTATAGTAATTTACATTTCGCTTGAAAGTAATGCCTCTAGTTTATTTCTGTCGAAACTACAACAAAGTGCACGATAGAACTATTTTGTTGAGAAAATTCTCAGCTACAAAACACTATTTTTCAACACTGTCACCACCACTAGCTAAGCATTTTCACCACTGATGAACAAGAGCTTGATGATGTACTCAGAATAACCTGCAGCGGTGGATGTGACCCACTATTGCCACTTCTGAAACATACCACTGCCTCAGTGAGCTCACATCCACTGTTTGGTCTTCATCGATGTTCATCAAAGATCAGTGAATGTCAGTGGGTGCCATTTTTCCTCATGGCAGTGACACACCTGTGCTTCATCTGCTTTTCCATGTCTGACACCACTTTGTCAGACTGCCTTTCTGCTCCCATCTGTTGCATGACAACAAAATGTAATGGGGTATTGGAGGGAAGGTTCTACCTTTACTGCCAAACCACCAATACTCGCCTCTAATGTTGTGGGCCAACATAATAAAACAGGAGCATTACTTTTGGAGCAGTCCTCACATTAACCCTTCAGGTTCATCAATGTCTTAGCATTAATGCAATCTAGAAGGGGGGGATTTGAAATATGATGGTTTTTATTAATAATTTGCAAATAGTCTGAATGAAGCCTCTAAATACTGTGGAAGAACCAGCCCATAGTTTTTTTCATTGCTTTTAGAAACAACACTTTTGCAACATATTTTCTTAACTAGTAGGCTACAGATAGAATACATAATGGAAAAGAAGCTTTGTTCTAAGCACAAATACATTCAGCTCAAATAACATACTAGTGTAATTGTTTTTTTCTGTTTACTTACTTATTGTAAACTCAATTTTGCTGCTTCTGATTATGCATTATCTGTTACTTCACTGATTTAATTTGATCACTTGAAATGGGATCATTTTGTAGCCAATATTATTTCCTTATTTTATTACAGGAAAATACTGATGCAGTATTTTGTGCTAAACTTCATCATGTTTTGTACCTTATTCTCCAACATGATCCTCCTTGGAAATCTACATCTATGTTAGGATATTATTTAGATCTTCTTCAGTGTCCTATCTGTAAGAAAGGCACGTGGAACTTGATAGAGATGCTTGTAAGGTAAAAAAAAGTTTAGTGAGGTATTAGATGCAATAGTTATGTTTTTCCAAACATGATTTGTGTTAGCTCACAGATAGACTTGTTTTAAACTTTTCAAAATTATAATAATCTGTATATTATTGCTGTTTCTTGTGCATATGTATAATGTGTATACATAATATGTCTGTAGTTACATAGTAAAATTCAGTCTTTATCATATTTATTACATTAAGCTTCATGATCTACTTTGATTTTAATTATAATTTTTACAGTGTTCAACGAGACTGATTAAATCCTATACGTGAACAAATGCAAGACTCAGTATACAACAACTGTTTAGGGAGTTTGTCTGTACTTCAGCTAAGGAACTCATTTTTTATAACTTGTATCAAAAGAAAATATTTTGTTCATTTAGTTCAGTGAGGAAATGTACTTCTTATAACTGTCATAAAATCTTAACATTTAAATAATTTGATAAACTGTGATTAGATCTGTATTAATGTATGCGATTGTACTCGTGATATCTCTTTAAGGGCATTCTCTGCTAGAATCACTGTAATTGGACATCTAATGATTTTGCTTAGGAATATGTCACATGTCATTGGAACAGAAGAGAATTAATCTGTTAGATAAAGTATTTTATATTTTATCTTTTAGTATTTTCTGGCAGAATGTGAACACCCAGGAGTTGTATACCTGTTCTCTTTTTTTTTTTTTCTTTTGTATATGTTACACTGAACTGTAGAATCATGGAAGGGAAATTTAAAGTCCATCTAGTCCAATTCCCCTCCACTATTCAAAATTCTAGCCAGAAAAATTTTGCACACTTTACTTCAAAATTGTCTTTATCATGCCAGAGAAGCAGTAGATTTCATCAAAACTTGTATTCACTTGTAAACTTAGTGAATTGCTTGTAGGATATTACAGTGTCAGTGAAGTACTGCAAGACTACCATGTGGTTAAAGGATTTGTAAGAAGTTTTGTAATATCTAGTAATTCCATAATAACTCAAATAAGGGACAGAAAAATACAGATATACAGAAAACAATTTAGTTTACACTATAATGCAATCTTCATCTGTTTAACACAAGGCCCCATTAACAAGCACATTCAGTTTTTGGAGGAAGCGTAGCTTTAAAAACAAAATGTCTGGCTTTAAATTATGAATGTTGCTGAGGAGCAAGGTATTGTCACAGTTGTCAAAAGTCAAGTCTGCTTTCTTTCCCAATAAATCAGGCTATCATTTCCATCATACAAATGTATTTTGTTGGTGTTTGTTTTGCAGGTCTTGTCTATATTGCAAAAACATTTGTCATGCAGTCCCAGTTTCAGGGAAAGCAGATGAACAGAGGAAAGTTCACAAAACATTATTGAAGTTTTTCTTTGATTTAATAAAAGCTGAAGTAGAATTTCTGATTAAAAGGTAGGTTTCATAGGATAATATTAATTTTCTACAATTTTACATGCATTTCTGTATCTACAGCAGGTTGTTTCCTGATTTTTGTATGTTTGTAATAATATTCTGTTTCACCAAAGTGCTGTCACTTAAGATTTCTTTTTATATTTCTCAGTTCTGTTTTATTGTAATTGGTATTGTTTTTTTTCTAATTGTGCTTTAAGACCTCTAGCTTTTCACAATGTTATTATTTCACTGCATTGCAAGTTTCAGTAAACATTTAATGTTGCTCATAAAGCTACATTTTTAGCCTTGCATTGCTTTTATATCCATTCTTGAAGTTAGATAAGAGGTATTTTGAACATACTGATATTAAAAAAAATCAATTAAATGTTATCTTTCACTAGGGAGATAATTATCTTTCCTTAGTTTATGAAATATGAAGAAATCTTGATTTTGCTCTGCCTTTAAGTAATAAAGGCAGCCTTTATATATTAGCACAGTATTAGAATTCCTTCAGTTTGACTTTAATAGTCATCATTATTTTACTTATTATTCATCAGAAATTGTCTGATCTTTCCATACTTAAAAATTATCAAATCTTTATATGTTTTGACAGAAGATAAAGTTTCTGTCTAGTAGCTACAGTAATCAAAATGGCATAAAGATTTCGGTTTTTCACATGCTTTTTTTTTTTTTTTCTTTACAGTTTGGTTGAAGGGACCAATTCACAGCACCAGCAAGTAATGCCACAGACTGTTCTTCTGAAGACCTTTTGGTTGGGAAGTGAAACCTCTGTGCTTTTTACCAAACACATAAATATTCTAGTGGATTGGGTCGTACTCTCCTATAGAGAATTGCAAAGAAAAAATGATGTGAGTATGAATTTTATGCTTTAAAATAATGAAGACTGACATTTTTTTAAAAGTCATTTCTTTGTTCATTCCTTTGTGAGGAATTATATGTAAGTATCACAGCTGCTTGTTATATCTACCTTTTGTTGTGAAGCATGCTGGTTTTTGCTCCACTAAAGGAAATGAATTGATCCATAAGATTCTCATATTGATCTGCAGAGAAGAAACGAATCATGAGTAGCTTATTGGCTACATTCAGATCTTCACATGCCCTTATCAGCAGGTATTACTGTAGTCATTAGGGACACAAGCTTAAAACATTCTGTCAAACAATAAGGTGTAACAAAAGAGATGATTATCTTATTTTACAGTGATTGTATTCAGGAAATGTTGAAAGGTGAAAGCTAAGAAAACAAATAGTTTTTTATTGTTTTCTATAAATACACATTTTATTATTTTATTAAATGCCCCAATTACTTCCCAAGTTCTTTAGTTTCATTTGGTATCTTACCTAGATCTTTTCATAAAAATGCAATTGAAGGCAACTTAATTGCTTTTCTGTGACCTGCTGACCAGCAGGACATTGACCTGAAAGATACTGAGTGTCCTCTATACCACGTCTTTCTTTTCAGAAGCTATAGGCCTTGTAAAACATCTTTGACTTCTAGATTCTCACATAAAATACAAACTTACTGCTCTCTCTACGTTCTCTTTTAAATTATTGTGGAAGCACAGAATAAATAGATACTTCATTCACTTTTTCATTACAATAACAGAACAACAATAGAAAATCAAGTGTTATGGAGAAAAAAGCACTTTCAATATAATAGCTACTAGTTTTCCATTATGTTAAGAAAGCAGAAAGATTAAACATAATGAGTGTTTCACTCATTTTACCTAGCCAGACCTCCTACCTTTTTTTGAGGGCTATCAAAGCCAGATATTCTGAAACAGTGCTGCCTTTTATCCTTGGTCAAGATATTAAAAAGCTAAAGACCTAAAATTAGGCTTCTATACCCATATTTATATTAAAACAACCTACTTTCTGAAAGGTCCTGAACATCAAGCAGGATTACATTCAGTTGATTTCAGTGACCATTCTGTTTCTTTGGAAAATGGGACTGCTTTTATATGTTTCCTGGTGTTGAGTGTGCAGTTTAAGTGTGGACTCCATTTTCTTTTTTCTACCATGCCTTTTTTTCACTAGTTCCAATACTATAAGCCATACCTTTGTTATAAACCGTTCGGTGCATACGCTGAATAATTCTTGTCCTAGGCTGAGCATAGTACTTACATGAAAAAAGAGGAATACTAAAATACAACATGAAAGATAGCACTTCCTCATTTAGATTTTGGGTTGGAGTTTTTTTTGTTTGTTTGTTTGTTTTGTTTTGTATTTCCAACTATATTACATGTAAATATATATATAAGAATTGTACTTTGTCACAAAGCCAAAATGCCTATTGCTTTGTTATGCGCTATAATGTACAATATCCCTGCAGATGCAGATTCTACTCTTAAAAAGCAGCATTTCTATACTACAGTACTATCCTTTAGTCTTGTATGTTGGTAACACATTCTCTTTTCCTTTGCATTCTTTGACAAAAATAAATTCTAAACCAATATGCTATGTTTTTACATACAGAACTCATTGCTTTTGACACTCTCAATTTTATTATACTAAAACTTGAAATACTGATATTTTTATATGTTCAAAGACTTAAATAACATAGTTGGAAAGATCAAAGGAGCCAAATGACCAGTTTCTCCCCAGTCTATCCGTCAAAAGAAAAATGTGTTTTATTCTTTTTAATATACTTTTTAATTTTTTAAATTATTCTAGAAAGACACACATATATAATAACATATGCCAGTAATAGAGCATATTGCGTGCAAAATTTTTCACTCATACGTATTAGGGATATGATTCACTGTTATTTTTTAAAATAAGCTATTTACTTAAGAGGCAGCACATTGGCACTATACACTTAGAAATCAAAATCAAAGAAGTGACTTAGGCAATCTTCTATCTGTATACTAGATAAATTGTTTGATAGTACAGGGGTGACCATATCTGCCTGCTTACACAAGTTTATTAGCTAGTGGAAAGAAACAAACAAACAGCTTGAGTATATTGAAATTCTGTGCAATTGTCCAGTGAAAATACCTATCAATGAAAACAGAGAAATAATTCCATAAAATTTTTGAGGACCAAGTCTAACAAATTCATTTCTAAGCAGTAAAAGTGAGGTTTGTTTTTTAGATATTTAAATAAGAGGCATCTATTTTTATGTGTTTCAAAGAGATTGCAGCAAGTCAGAGGAAGAGACTGTATATATTTCTTCACCTGTAGATTTGCAAAAAAAATATGTAATGTATTTATGTAATCATATATAGATACGTATGTGTAAGATGAGCAATCCAGAAACAGTTACAGTAAGTAAGAAATTTCATGCTGAAATTCTGAATGAGGGCTGCTGTTTTTCTTGGAATAAGTACTCTGTCATTGTTTCGTTTTCCAGGTCTCTTATAAGCTGTATCAGAAACAAAGAAAAAGAAAGGAAAAAGGGCCATAAAGACTATGGTTACATAGTTTCTAGACTACAGGTGTACACATGGGTCAGAACTGGATGTGTAAACGAGGGGAAAGCAGTGGATAGTGCATCTTGAATTCAGCAAGGCTTTTCACCCAGTCTCCCATAATAACCCCATAGATCAGCTTAGGAAATGTGGGATATGCAAATGGACAGTGAGGTGGATTGAGAACAGACTGAGTGGCAGAGCTCAGAATGTTGCGATACACAACACAGTCTAGCTGGTTGTAGCTAGTGTTATTCCTCAGGGTTGGTACAGGGTCCAGTTGTATACAACATCTTGAATTACTTGGACTGATGACAAGGTTGCTGATAATACAAAACTGGGAGGAGTAGCTAACGCACCAGGAGGCTCTGATTCCATTTAACAAGACCTGGACAGGCTGGAGAGTTGAGTGGAGAGGAACCTGATGAGGTTCAACATGGACAAAGGTAAAGTCCAACACCGAGAGAGAAATAAATCACATGCATCAGTATAGGTTTGGGGCTGACCTGTTGAAGAGGAGCTCTGTGTAGAAGAACCTGCGTGTCCTGATGGACAGCATGTTCTGACTGGCCATGAGCCAGCAGTGTGCCCAAGAAAGCCAATGGTACCCTGGAGTGCATTAAAAAGAGCATGGCCAGCAGGTGAGGGAAGTGATCCTCTCCCTCTACTCAGTCCTGGTGAGGCCACATCTGGAGTACTGCATCTAGTTCTGGACTCCCCAGTTCAAGAAAGGTAGAGAACTTCTAGAGAGAGCCCAGCAGAAGCCACAAAGTTTATTAGGGGCCTGGAGCATCTCCCTTATGAGGAAATGCTGAGAGACCTGGAACTGTTCAGTCTGGAGAAGACTGAGAGAGAATCTCACCAGTGCTGTAGGGAACCTGCTGTAGGCGTTGGATTAGATGATCTCCAAAGGTCCTTTGTGATTCTGTGATTTGCTTTTGTGTTAAATGGAATTTTCTTTGTTTTAAATAAAAAATAAAATTAGTGACATGAATTTGAGTGCCCTCACTCAGTACTGTGTTAATCTGCCAAGACAACTTGATGGAATAAAAAAGGAAATTATCCTTGCAGATCAAAATGCAAAAGCAAAGAGTGTAGACTTTCCTAGTCTAAAGGTTTTCTAAATCAATACTGAATATCAGGTTAAAATCATAGAATCATAGAAATAATTCTATACATGACACAGTTCAAAAGCAAGTAAGATTGGTGGAGAAACACGGTTCCTTGAAACATAGCTTTTAACTTAGCTTTGGAACACAGAAACACATTATTGTTTTTAAGACCGAGTAGCTAGTAGTCATTCAGTTATTGTATCTTTTCACAGTGATACCGTATCTGTAATGGTATCCAAAATGCTTTTCCTCCCACAGCTGCAGTTTTTTTCTTCATTTCAGAAGTTGGTCTTACATAATCTGACAAAGGAGTGTAAAAGAGATACACTCAATTTTTTATTTGCATCATATCGTGTATTTCTGATGTCCTTTCTAACACTTGGAAGTATGTTTTAGGCACTTTCAGAGTTCTGTGTTACGCTAAAAACATTGCACCTCATAAAAAAAACCCTCTAAAAAGCATCTCTAAAATTCCTATAATTCAAAGTGAAAAAGTTAAGACGAATTTTCTTATGACTTAAAAGCTTTCCAATGAGAACTTTTATGTGTACAAAAACCTCTCTCTCTGGAGCACTGTAGTTGACTGAGGAAAGCATTAAATGGAACAGCAATACAGGAATTGCCTTTGCCAAGCTAGCAGTCATCAGTTGTACTGATACAACTAAAACAATCAACAGTCTCTTCCCACTTCAATGCTTTTTCTCGATGAGATAGTATTGATTCTCAACACTAACAACAGGGAAGAGGGTTTTGATTAAAAAAAATTGCTTAACTGGATGTTATTCAGTTAGCTAAGTATGGTGCAAAGGGTTGACTTCAGCTGGCAGGCAAGCTCCTGCACAATCACTCTCCCCACAGCAAGATGGAAGAGAGAAATGGAAGGGCAAGAGCAATAAAACTCATGAGAAGTTACAGAGATGGTTAAGTAAGTGAAACAAAGGTATGCACACAACCACAGAAGAATAAGGAGTTAATTTAATACTTCCCATTGGCAGACATGCACCCAGCAGCTTCCTGGAAAGCAGGGCTTTAGCATGCATAGCAGTTACATGGGAAGACAAATGCTATAACTTCAGATGTCCCCATTTCTTCTTCCCCACAAGATTTTCATGTTGAGTATGATGTCATATGCTATAGACCATACCTTTTGTTAGATGAGGTCATCTCCTGTGGCTGTGTCCTCTCCCAGTCCCTTGTGCATCCACAGAAAGTAAGCATCAAGGCTTTCTTTTCCAGTTAGCTTCCCTAGCCTTGCAAGCAGGTATTGGAAAAATATGAAAGCCTTGATGGTGTGCATGCACTGTTCAGAAATAGGAAAAACACTGTGTGTTATCAACGCTCTTTTGGGAACAAATTCAAAGCAAAGCACCATGGAGGCTGCTGTGAAGAAAATGAATTTAGTGCCAACCTGATCCACTTGGGTATCGTGAGTAAAAATAAAACTGCAGTTCTGTTAAGAATGTTTTTGGAATAATTTGAACTACTGTTTGTAATAGTACATTATTCTTAGGAATTTTAGAAGTACTTTTTTATAAGGAAAAGAGAGGCACTCAAATTGTTTCAAAAAAAATTTCATTGATGATATATAAAGGAACAAAATGTTAAAAATTAAATGGGTTCAAGTTTGGTTAAAAGACAAATAATAAATTATAGAGCCAAAGTCAGTGGTTTGCAAATATTCTCAACTTTGGTTGATTGGAATCTTGTGTTCCAGTGAACAGTAATCACATGATTTAACTAAATCGTGGTGTAAACAAAGACTTCTCACATAGAAATATTTTTACTTCATCCAAAATTTCCTTTAGCAATAGCATAGAAACTTACGTTATTTATATGAATGACTTGTTTTTTCTACTCAGAATAAGAGTTTGATATAATGTTCTAAATATTGCTTTTGTATGTGTACAAATAATCAAGTGGCTCTTCTGAGTTTACTTTGTAACTGATTTGCATACAGGGACCACTTAGTTTTCTATGAATTTATTCTTATATTCTAAAAATATTGTTGCTGAAAGTTTTTGTTTTATGTATTTTTTTTCTTTCTGTCAATTTGATCATTACAACATCAAGGAAAACTGCAAGTTTAAAACAACTATAGAGTTGTGAAGCTGTAAAAGTGACTTTACTTTTTGAGATTTGGCTTCTTGAGTTTGAAAGCAGAAGCTATTTATTTGCACAATGAAGCTTTGTCGCACATGGTAGTAATTCCCATGTCAAATGAAAATAACTGTTTCATTCTTCTTTCTAATAGTGTACACATACATTTTCATTACTATGTTTATATTGTTTTGTGGTTGAAAAACATTTGATATGTTAATATTTCAATATTTTTTAAAGAGAGATACTTGCAGTAAATTCTTTTTTCTCATTTGTAATGATGTGTATTTCAAGATATTAAGGAAAAGATCTTGATTTACACCGTTTATCAAAATATCAGGTAAGCCTGTACCAGTTGGCATTATCTAGGCTTAGTGAAGGTAGTTGCAGCTCATGTATCATCAGCGAGATTTACACTGCAACTATGTCTGACTTTGTGAAACAGCATTAATGTTTGCAGTGTTAACAGGCATTAGTTCAATCTACTGCCTCCCAGCTACCCCCAAAAATACTTCACAGATCAAGTGAAGCAATATTGTGGTTTAGAAATCAAGCAAAACAATGTAAATACTTATGCTTTAGATCTATCTGCGTCAGACTACGTGTGTATGTCCTTGACTCTGTCCCTTCTTTTAAAAAATCTCATTATTTACTGCATTTGTGTAATTTATTTCCTGTGAAGAACTATTGAGGATTATTTGCCCAGTATTTTGCTTTGGGGTCCAATGATGAAGAGAAGAGGTATGTGACCTAAAGGAAATTCCAAGACATTGGAGATGTTTTGAATTATTTTGAGAAGATAGGGAGTAATACATCTTTTAAAATCTTTAAGTACTAGCTGAAGCAAAATTCATTTTCATGTTGTTGACTAGCCATATCAGTGTTCTCTCTTCTTTTATTTCTTAAGTTCTCATTGTCTAAGATAATGTATTAGAAAAGCAGTGACAGCAATCAAATAGAGCTGAACAAAATACAAGGAGTTAAAGCTAGGATCTATCTCTGAGATCACATTACTAACAGATTTTGTCTCACGAGTTCCTAAAAGCCTTCAGTAACGTAGATTACGTCACCTCCCCATGCAATATCTATTTGTACATAAGTTGCTCTGAAATTAATGCCTCCTATTTAGTTCCATGGAAACTTCAATAGATACAAAGGGCACAACAGTGCTATTTGCTAGAGCAATTTCTCAGTTACAAAGCATTCTTTTTCAACATAGTCTCCACCGTTGTCTGTACATTTTGCTAATGATGAACAAGAGCCTTCATAAAAATCTGCACCAGAGTAGGTGAGCCACTGCTGAAATGCACCACCCACTGTGCTCACATCTGCTGTTTGGTCTCCATAAACATTCAGCAAGCATCAATGAATGTCAGTGGGTGCCATTTTCTCATGGAGAAATTCATCTTTGCTTCATACTTCCATGTCCGTCACCGTTCTGCCAGACTGCCCCTCTTCTGCCGCGTGTCTCACAGCAAGGATGTGTAACAGGATATTGGTGGCAAGCTTCCACCCCAACTGCCATACCACCAACACCTGCCTCTAGATGTCTTGGGTCAATATAATGAAATAGGAGCCATTACTTTCAGAGCAGCTCTTCTAGTTCTGTTTATTCCTTTTTTTTTTTTTTGAATAATAAGGAAGTCTGCTAGCTATATGGCAGTATTTATGTAGGTTTTCCGCAAACGATTTTGTAATCCTTTTATGATAAATCTCATCTGTGTCTCTGTTGCTTTTGTCTGTGTTCTTGATGAAGCTAAAACTACTCCAGTCATTGGTGCTTTCCAGCTGCTGAGGATATACTTTCAAAGTTTTAAACCAACCCTGAACATGTTTTGTTATCAAAAGAGTATAAGAGTTGTAGATTGTGGTGTGAGAGCACAACAAAGGACAGAAAAGTTCTGTTTCTTATTCTTTAGTCAAAAACTGACCAATAAACATGTATTTGGTTGGTTTCCCTCCTATCCAAAATTGTCTGTTGTGAAGTATGCATTCTCTTTTTCCAGAATACAGTGGATCCGCAGGTGCTCAAGGATATCCATAGCGATTCTGTGGTACTTAGGTAGTTCTGCTAATTGTGTGGCATTAATTTCATCTGTTCCCACTACAATGCATATGTTTTTCCTTGCTTTCTTTATCAGCACATGGCCTTTCTTGCAGGTTCAGGAGAGAATATGGTAAGGTTAGCGTTCTTCTGTTCCTTCTATCACTGCTGCTGCTCTTTTAGTTAGTTTTGTGTGTTGTTTTTCCTTTCTTTGTTTTGGTTTGTTTTTGTTTTTTTTTAATCAGAATACAGTATCCTGATCCCACATACTTTTTCTGTGCAGGAGAGTAACACTTTAAACTTTCCAACCTGGCTCCTTTTTGGTACAGGTGTATGTGGTTGATCACAATGGGGCCTTTGATTTTGTGATGGTAACTTTAGGAAAAGAGAATCCTGATAGAACAAGGAGGATAAGATCCCTGTAATTTGCATGTTGTATTAGAAACTGTGTTTCAAAATAACTATTTCTCCAAATCTTATTTGATGTGGCCTCAGTGACATAATTAGTTTTGTTGACCTGGTTTCAGCAGTTGGCTTTTGAGCAGAAAAAGAAATACCAGTGAAGAAGTGATACGGCAACACAGTGGGCTTTTATCTGAAGATGTTTTCCAGTGTTATTACTGTTACATTATCAGCATGAATTTACTGTACAGTACAGGTTCTTAGATACTCTTTCTTTCCCTTTTAGGCTTTCAGACGTGAAATAGCTTGTCTATTAAATGCAATCCTTGGAACCGTGGTGGATTATTGGATCGTCTCAGCTTTGCTTATGGACAGAAACGTGTTTCATCAAACAGCTGATGATTTAGCACGCTACATTGCCGTTGCCTGTGATGGTGAGTGTTTGAAATACATCTGAGAATCTTTTAATCAGATATACTAAAGAAGTCCTCAATTAAAATTCCCAGTTAGCATTCAAGTTATATTTTACTTTCTTTTGCAGCCATGCAGTTTGACAATGTGATGCATATGTATGCAGGAAACTGCTTAGAGCTGTGTATATCTGTGTATATGTGGCAGGCTGTATGTCTCTTCCAAGCAAAGACTAAATAGCACTGCTTTCTGATTAAAGTCCTTTTGAATAAATCTCTATATTGGTGTAAAAAGAAGGAAGGGTTAAACATTGTGCTAGATAAATATAAATCTCATGATTAAAATAAATGGGATATTCTCTGCAGTATCTGTTGTTTCAGCATGTAGGGAAGAGGAATTCAACTGGACCAAGAAGTAATGTTTCTCTATTACATATTCAAAATACATTTCCATGTTTTGTTTTGTTTTTAATTAGAAAATGTTTGGAAAACTGTAACTCAGCTTTTCTACCTCTTTATCCTGATTTCAGTCATAATTTTCTCTAGAGACAGGTTTGGATAGGCTTCATTTAAAGTGCTGGTGCTTCTACCTGGACACTGGAAAAGATTTGTCCTGAAAAAAATTAAACTAAAATCTTACTCTCTAGCCAAATAGTTCCACTCTGGTCTTTCTTAGGGAACATTATAACATTTCTTAGGCACATTATAATGTGTCTTAGATTAAAAACAACAGCAAAAAAACAAAAGATCAGTTGGACCTTATAGTATTTAAATCAATGGGACTTTTAGTTCTATAGCTTTTGCAGTGTGTCTAGAACTTTTTAGCTTTAATATATTAGGAAAAATCTAGTAAATAAATTTCGGTATTACTTTCTCACTTTCTTGCTTACAAATGGAAAACAGTGTTTTTATGTGCTTCTTCATCCATTCAGAGTATGCATGGAAACAATGTTCATAGGGTATAAAGAATGAAAATTACTAATTGGTGATCACTACAGGTTGGGTGATGGCTCTTATGAAAAATTATAGCAGAATTCTTGTAAGATTCTGTCAGTTTGGAGTAGAAGGCATCTGTATACTTAAAACTTGTTCTTCCATTTCACTCTGTTAGCTTTTGTGTGAGCATTTCTCAGAAGTCTAACACTACAGCAATACGGCTTCAGGACCCACCATGCCTTTTCTAAAAACCAAAACAAAATAAAACAGAAGAAAAAAAAATTAGATAGGCCAAAGATAAGCCTGATGATAGGTTCATCTGAAAAATGTTGGAGTTTGCATAAGGTCACTTTTAATATTGAATTCCTCTCCAAAACTTAAACAGATTTTTTTTCTTTGTGTTACATATTTTTTTTACCTGAATTGTGTTTGTATTATGTCTTGTGAAATTTTAAATTAAATCACCTGCATAATGTCGCTGAATGAATAATTTTATCTCAAAATCAAGCTATAAGTTTTAAAATACTGTATTTTGAGTGTTTTTTAAGTGTTTGGCATAGTAAGAAGTGTTTCTTTGTATTTTAAATGCAAAGACAAGATGACTTTTCTAAATAGCTGGTCTTCTTGTTAGGTGATGGATAAATCTGTTTTAATAAGACTATTGTAAATTTCATGGAGAATAACTTATAAATGTGCAATTGATGAATTAAAAATCAGTAAGAGATATATTCTAGACAACTATGCATGTACAGGTTTGTATGTACAAATTTTAAGGCTCTTTCTCTTCTATTTGCTTTCATCTAGATTTTTCAGTATGTGATATTAAAATGTTCATTTGTTCCATACCATCCCTCTGGCTTCAAATGTTTGTTGCTGAAGCAGTTTTTAAAAAAATGTGTTTGCAGAGGAATGTAACTCTTTCTACAGAACCTATTTCTCTTCAAAAAATAGTAAGTAACTCTTGCACTCCTTAATACCTAGCACACTTAAGCACTTCAAAAATAATTAGATTAATTAAGGTATTGGAAAATATCTTTCTTTTGTGGAGTGAAATCATGTTCACTGCATGTATACACTTCCACCTGTGGAAACTGCTGCTTGAGGGCAGGGTGAAATTTTCTTGCTAAAGAATTGGTAACACAGTGTAAAATTAATCTGTTTATGTGCAGCTATTATGAGAAGTCAAAATTAAAGATTTTTAAAGTAATCTTTGATGTGACTCATTTATAGCAATATTATATTTGTGATTAAGGAAAATTCAAAATATTGCATAGTTTTTCAGGGATATTTTTTCTTTCAGATTTTTGAAGAGGTAACAGTCTATTATTTTGCTGCTAGATACAGAATTTTGTGATTCTGAACCAGAGTATATTTCTATGGATCTGTCCTCTTAAAAACTTTCTCCTACTTGTAGACTTTATCTTGCCTTCAAGTCACAAACTGTAATTGCTTGTTAGGAAATACAAATTGAATTTCTCAGACCCACAGTTACTGGCAAGAAGAACACAGTCACAAGTCAGGGAGACGTCACAGGAATGACATGACCTAATTTGGAGCCACTTTACAGTAACTTTAATGGTAAAGACTAATGAGAATATGAAATTCATAACTTGCTGTATGACCTAAAATTGTATAGATAAAGTCAAGGAAAGACTGAGTTATACTGTTACAAATTACTCCATATCTAAGTTTCCTCAAACTACAGTAATTTACTCTGAACAGAGATTATTTTTTATTAATAGAAACAGAACATGAACAAAACACTGTCAAAATTTTAAGAATAGCCAACAAGATCTAGTGTTTAACAAATGTTGTCAACATACACACAGCAACAATTGCTTTTTTTAGTATTACTATGAATATTGATCACTCTACTTGAAAAAAAATTTTGAAGAGGTTGAAAATATTTCATGTGATCTTTGTGGCTTTCCTTAGCATGACTATTCTTTCATTCCTGTTCTATATAATAAATATCAACTATGGTCCAATTTTGCACCCTCTTGTCACACAGCATATTACCAACTATATTTTTCAGTGTATTCAAGAGTGCTTTCCTACTTGCTGTTGGTAAATTGTACAGTGCATGTAAAAAGTCCCTCTGCAGTTAGTGACTTGCAGAATCGTAGGTGATCTCTTACATACTGAAAGCCTTCTTTAATGAAAGCTAATGACTGTATAATTATCGAATGGTTTTCCTCACAGGACTATGCAAAAAACTTCCATGACTTTTTAAAAAGAGGTGTAAGGTGGGGTTGGAAGCTCTGTATTGCTAGAAAGAAACCAGAACTTCTACAAAGAGCACCACAAAGCTGACTAACTAGCTTATTGCCTTCATAGTGTCAAGAAGCTTATTCCAGCTTCCAATTTAGAAGGGTTGAAGGAGGGGAGTGATTCTTTGCCATATTGCTCCCTGGGTTTTTCTTTGTGGACTTTGTGGGAGATGAAAGCTTGTACGTGCTTGCATTAAATAGTTTAGAATCAGTTAGCTTTGCTTCAGTCTTATGTCCAGCTAAAGAGATGAAAATCTTAGCTATGGAAAAAAAAGAGATCTAAAATTTTCCATTTTCCAGACACTTCTCTCACCAATGAGGCCAGCTTACAGGAGTCAATTACAACAATAGTTAAGAAAATAAATAAATTACAGAGATGACATTAAGCAATCCATACAGATTACAGTAGACTGTACAGTTCAAGATCCTTACAAGTCATGTAAGGATCATGTTTATAAAAAATAAGGCGCAACAGGGTGTGGGTGGTAGCTGGCAGTTTCAGAAGAAGTACAGAAAAAAGACTACGTAAGTCACTTAAAATGTTACTTTTGCAACAGGTCGGTCCCTATTTTCTTGCTTTGCGAGAGGTAGGGATGTGTGAGACAAGAAACGTACATAAAGCAAAGAAAATAGGGCATTGGCCATGTCCTGCATCTCAGAGGGCATTACAGATGCTAAATAGTGATGAGCAGAACCAAGTCAAAGTGCTGCCTGATGTACCGTAAGTAATGCCTGTAACATCACCAATTTTATTCTGCTCTGGGGGACAGCTTCTGACCTGACACATTTCTTGAACTTTATATGACCTGTTTTGCTGTCTACAAATTACTACATCTGACAGAAAGCTCAGTTTTAAACCTGTAGTCCAACCTCTGGGCTGGGATTCCCCCTTCCTTCCCATTCCTCCTTCTCAACTTAGCGAACGAAAGTAGTTATATTTTCACAATATTTGTTGTAAAGGATACACAGATAAGTTGAACAATCCACAAAATTACCTTTTAAAAAAGTTTAATCATAGATAATTTAATTTTATTGCTGTATTAAATACAGTTATAATTAAATGATATGGAAGTTACGTCATTAGGACATTCTAGAAATAACTCTGAAATGCGTAGATGTAAGTTTGATGTTTATATACCTTAAAGGCACTGAGTACATACATAAAAGATATGAAATAGAGATTTTAGATGTGTCCCCTTAGCTCTCTTTTCAGATACAGTAAGTGCCATACAAGGAAGAGAGCCAAGGCTTCAGACACCAAAGAGAATTGTTCCCCTTGGGCTGAAGAGGTTCATTTTTACAGGAGAAATGCTAAAGGTATTCCATATATCTAATGTGTGTTGGAGACTTTATATGGTTAGAATTGTTGGTTTCAGCTTAAAAAATCTTGACCTGATGAATGCTGAGCTAAAATTATGGCTTATGTCCAAAAATCATTTTCATATGGTTCTTGTTCCCTTTTTTCAATGTCTGTTTGAAAGGAGGAATTGTATATATGGTGGAATAAAGCTGCCTTCTTCATTCCCCTCCCCCCCAGATATTAAATACAGTGTACAGCTTGTGTGAGCTCATTCCAGTCTTGCCCGTCTTACTTTGCTAATCCACCTCAACCTGTGCTTGGTAGGATCAACGTCTTCTGATTTGAAAGTATAATTCAGTCTTCACCGCTTTCAGTCCTAGACATTTTGTGAACAAAGACTGAGGAGTATGCTATGTTACATAGCTGTGTTAAGCATATGGACTGTTTTCTTCCAGGCATTCAGCCCAGACTATGAAAGGCATTTGGCTTTTGTCTTAGCTATACTGGAACCCAAGTACCTAAGGAATAAAACAGCATTGCAGTAATTCATTCAGTTCCCACTTATTACGCAAATCTAATAAATTGTGCTTTACACGAGGCTTTACCTCAACAGAATGACTTGTTAGAACTCTTATCTTTATCATCAGAAATTTAGCTGTATCGCTCAAAACACAGCTATATGAATCATGACACCCAGGCTTAGAAAAGTCTGGCAAATCAACCTAGGATTGTTCAAAAAATTATAATCAGAATTGTATCACAAACACCGGAGAAAAAAATACTCACTCTCTGTTGGGATTTAAGAGCGCTTCAGTAACAGAGCCAGACCATGCATTTTTAAAATTGGTTCGCTTTCTCTTTATTGCTTTTGCAAGTAAAATTGATGTGAATTATTACAGGCTGTCTTCTAGACAGAAAAGTGAGCTGAAGGACTAGGGCATAAAAAAACACCAAAAAAACAGAAAACAAAAAAAAAGCTTTTTTTTTCTATTCTTTCCCTGCCAAAATTTAAGTAGTATCTACTGTTGAAAGAATGAGTATGAAGCTGACAGATTTGTATAATGAAGGTATTGATATAACAAAATACACTGTGTTAATCTTATTGCAAATGCCGAGGGATTTACCCTGAGATATTTTTCATTTCTAAGATGTTTGTTGCATCATCTTTCACCTGGCATCAAGATTCTTCTCTGGCTCTTGTTCAAACCTAATCATGTAGTGAAAGCAAAACTGTGTTCAGAATGGGTCTGAACTTTTTATCATGTGGAGACTAATGGTGTTTTTACATACAACTAGCAGTTCTCAGTTTCTTGATGTTCAGTTTTTCACACTTCCGCATTATGTGATACTAAGGCTTGGAATTTTTTTTCAGAGGGCTTTCTTTTTATTATTATTATTATTACTAGGACCCCTTCATTTATTTCTCCCTCTTTCCCCCCCTCCCTTGCTACTGTAGCCAAGTCAGACAGCCTATTGAGAAACAGCAAACCATCTGTTAACGGATTTGAAGTTCTGAATTATATTGGAGTGTGCAGAGGCACTCGTGCTTAGGCAGAAACATTCATTTGAATTAAGCTATAAATGCTGTGTAAAAAGAACCATACATTTTAACGTAGGTTCATGAATAAATTTAAGGGAGGGCAACTGCACTCTAAAGTTTTATTGCTTCAAAACCCAGTATTTTTGGTGTTCTGTGATCACTTGGTGCTTTTATAGTGTGATTGAAGCTTTAAACCTTGAACTGGGGGGATATAATTCCTGTGTTAAACCATTTGCAATACAGTTTCATTGTTGGATCTCTGGTGGAACAGAAGCTCTGTGGGTTGTTTTTTTGTTTTGGGTTTTTTTTTTTTTGTGGGTTTTTGTTTGTTTGTTTGTTTTTTGAATTTTCTTAAAAGATGGTTAAACAGGATAAAGGAAAATCTTACTCATTATTGAATTTTCTGGCATATAGCCAGGTCTCCTAGTTCCAGGCACTTTGATTATTTTCTTTAGTTGCTATCTTGCCTAGTCTAGTGTAATCTATTAATTTTTTATGGTAGGACAGACAGCCCTACATGGAGCTTGCATAAGAAACAAAGTGGAGAGATTGATTCAGCTTCTCTCTTCCCCTGGAATAGACATTAATTCTAAAGGTAAGTTATTCATTTTCTCTACAGAACTAAGAAATTAATCCAGATAAGGAACTGTATTAATATACTTCTGGGAATAAAGTTTGCATTTATACAGCAAACACTGCATTATTCTAAATAACACAAAATAAGGACTTCATACCAGAAATGGCTGGAATGTTAATTTATAGCTGAAATGTGTTTTAACATCACATTTTCTATCAATTTTTTAAAATACCATTTAATTTTTATCAGATGCTTTTCAGTTTACCACTGTGACCATAATGAATACTAAAAAGTAAACTGTTTTGCTGTCTAATGAATTACATTATTAACATTTTAATACTACTTCTGCTGTTTTAAAACTTCCCTTGATTTATAATTCAGACTATGCTGGCTGGACGCCTTTGCATGAAGCCTGTAACCATGGCAGCACAGTGTGTGTCAGTGAAATTTTGCAGCATTGTCCAGAGGTAGACTTGCTCAGTCAAGTGGACGGGGTGACTCCTTTGCATGATGCACTGTCAAATGGACATATAGAAATTGGCAAGCTGCTGCTTCAGCATGGGGGTGAGTGCATTTATGCTAACCTGGTTTAGGGAAATAACCCTGTTCTGAGAGCATATGAAGTTTGTGGTGCTTTGATTAATAGTTATGTAAAACAAAGTGTTAGTATGAAATATTTATTTTAAAATATTTTCAAGACAAGCTATATTGGTCACAATAAAAGTATTACTGTTCTCACACTTATCTTGATCAGCCAAATATGAAATTAATGAGGGATTTCACTTTTTTTTTCCAATATGATAATGTTTTTATTCTGCATTTTATTCCATTTGCATTGTAACTATATCCTCTTAAGTAACTAATGAAGATAAAAATTACCTTGTAACCAAGCAAAGCTAAGGATTTTCTTTTATTTTGACCTATTTTTACCATAATGCAAAAATAGATCAGTAAATCTCTTTATAATCACATATTTCAGTATAAAGTTATTCAGCATTTATGAAAATTAATGAGATGGTCTTTGAAGAACACAATTAGCTTGGTAATTAGTTTAAGAAAGGGATCTATATTGTAATTGTGGTAACTGCTGTTTAGGGATAATAGTGGGAGGGATGTCTTAGTTTCTAAGAAAAACACATTGTCCCTTAGGTGGACACATGGTAAATATTTTAAACAGTATTTTTTGTTCAGTGACAGGAAACTGGTTGTATCTCATTTCAAAATATCTTGTATCAAGATGATTTTTGTTTTTAAAAAACAAAAGATTGATCTTCGATATCAAATTATTTTAATTTGTTTACTAAAATGACAATTTGCACTATCTTTACTGTTGACCTACTGTGTCAATTTAATCTCTTTGCATGATATGATGAGTCTAAACTTTTTCAATAAAGATAATTCTGTTTATAGCCTTAAGGTAAAATAATACACTGTATTTAGATGGCCTATTACTTAATTAAGCTACAGAAACAAAATTTTATTTCATTCTTGGCATATGACCCTTTGTATTTACAGTCTTCTCCTGCCCCCTAAAGGCTATTTCTGTCTGTTTGCAAGCACTGGCTTGTGATCGATACATTCCTCTGCAGGTCTACCTCTCTGTGTTTGCTGAGCTTGAGTTCTGGAGATCCCAGGTGTTTTATGTATCTACTGAACCATGCATCTGACATGCCAAGCCAATACCGGGCTCAGTTCCATCGGTCTAAGTGATGCAATAGCCAATACTGCCGTAAGCCCAGCTCCTCAATTGGAAGTGGCATTGCACTGACAGATGTGCATTTTTCCTAAGCTATTGTGAGGAATAGGATCCTGTTGTCCTAGGGGAAGAGCTCTACTTGCACTTGCATTCATCAAAGTTTTTCTGGCAACTGTAAGGCTGCATTCACCCTTATCTTTGCCTTTGTCATACTCTGGGTTTTGGCCTGTCAAGTAGCTGACTACTATGGTAGAAAGGATGTTACCCTTTCAATCTGTATTTAGTCAGCTCAATAACTTAGAATATATCTATGCAACAGCTTCTTCCATTTCTTTCCCTGAAGAAGTCCTTAGCTTGCAAAAGTTATGTTTTATATCTGCAGCTTCAATCATAGCAAAGCTAAGACCTGTAATAGAGATATGTCATGTGTTTAATTAATTAGTAATTTTTAAAAGTTGTAATTAATTAGTAATTAGAATACATTTCTGAAAAGATATAAAGTTATAAAATTGCGTTATTGCGTTAGCTTAGTAACCCAGATTTACATAAGCAGATTTATGTTGTTCTCACCTCTGAAAAGCATCACCTAAAGCTGCTTCAACCCACTTCAGTTTTTTATGTGGCTTTTCGTGAACTTATAAGACATACTGTAAACTTGTAATAGCTTCATTGTACTAATAAACAGGAAATGCTGAAATAATTTACTCTAATCTGAACAAGTAAGACATGTCTAATTTCCTTACCTTATATCTACTTATTATGGTAATTATTTTTTGCGGAAACCTACTCAAAATGAATTTGTACCTTAGTTAAGGAAAACTAGGCTTCCTAACTCAGTGGTTTACCTTTCTGCATAGCCTAATACCAGGTTGGCCATACCACCCAGGCAGGTAAAGACCGTCATAGTAAATTGCCATTAATTTTCAGACAGTGTCAGCAATTAACCTACCTTGTAAAATCCTTGATGATCATGTTCATCAGTAATAACATTAGCTAACTTTTTATATGTTCTGTGTATTGCAACTTGAAATTTTAGGATAAGATAGATTTTAATTTCTTATACATTTGTATATAATAATTCTTCATTTTTCAGTATAGGAAAGCCAGGGAGAAAATTAAAACAATATCATAAAGAAACTGTTATAATGTTTTTCTCTGCATATAAATTGTGTTGTTAATGTCTACTTCATCAGTTGCATGAACATAACTTAGTGCAAAAAGGAATTTAAAGAGACTCCTACTTTTTGGCAAAAAAAAACCTTCACCAACCCAAAATGCTAATGTCTTGCTCAGCTGCCAAACAGAACGTGTTATTATTAATATTTGTATTTTTCCTGCAGGACCAGTCCTTCTACAGCACAGGGACTCCAATGGAAAATTGCCACTGGATTATGTTCAGTCCCTACCACTAAAACAAGAACTTCTGAACATTGTTCTTCCAGAAGAGAAAATTGAAATCTTCAACAAACATACACAACAAGATCTCAGCAGTCAACAAAAAGAATTGTGGTTGATTTTATTTAACAAGATGCTGCTCAATTTTTGTTCTGTTTATAATCTGTTTTCACCTTTAACTTTCAGAGAGGTAGCTCATTCAAGTATGCTTTTAGTAATGACTGCTGATAGCCATAAGATGAAAGATACATTTCCTGCACATTGGTTAGTAGATACATACTTTAAAGAGCTAGAAACTTTTAAAAAGCTACCACAGTTTATTGAAGAGGTATCTGCATACATGTGTGCTTTTCCTGGAGAACAGATGAAGGCTTTATTAGCAACTCTGGAAACTGTGGTAAAGGCAAATCAGCTCTTTGCTTAAATTCTTTCTATAGGTAGCTTCCATAACCAGTTGCATTGGTTAAATCTGCATGACTGCTAACTTACGATATTTGGCTGATACTTGTTCTGGTAACTGAAGTACAGATGTCACAGCCATGCATGTTATTATCACCCATTACATTAATCCTTTCTTCTAGTGGGACTTGAAAGTCAGATGCATTGATTCAATGCAATTTTTAGGCAAAATCTGTCCATTCACAACACCTTCTCATTGTCAGACACCTCTGGATGCATGACAGCACTTCAGGAGGTGCTGTGTTGTTTTAATCTTTGCTTCTGTCTTGGAAATATTTGTCACCAGTCTCATGCCATAGTTCAGTTTGGTTTCTAAAGGTAGAACACCTTAAACTGAGTTACATACTATATAACAAGCAGCTTTTCCCTTAGAAAAGTGCATACCTACATAATTTACTGCATTTTAACAAAACCAGTATTCTAACTGTCTTTCAGTAAACGAAACATATGTTGTCCCTGCATCTTACCTAACCACATCTTGCAAAAGTTAGGATAAAGTCCTGTAAAATTAAAAACAGAAGATAATAAAACTTTTTTTACAGAATCATTGTAGTAGCACTTCCCTTGTCTTTGTTAGTTTGGCAGTACACAGAGATGCTCCAGGGTGCTAATGGTCACATTTGTTTGTGCAGACCAACCTGAGGAGTCTGGCCTATTCACTTGGGTTTTATTCGGCACTCCAGTGGGTGTCACTGTCTGGAGCTTTACAATGACCAGGGCATCTTCCTGCCCCCAAGGCCAGTGATGCTGTAAAGGACCAAATGCACTTTCAGCATGAGTGATGATGTCACTAGCTCTGCTCTGCCTCATGCTGGCTTGCAGTGATTTGATAAATCCTATAACTTTGACTGCATAAAGTCATCTTGGTAACGCCCCTGGGATTCCTCCAATCCAAACGCTGGTAGTGGTAGTGGTATAAATCAAGCTGTGTTGGCGGGGGAATTTGCTAAGGATTAGACAAGACAGTTTAAGTATGTTCTGGGCATCAGATTCTGACACTAAGTATGAATCTCCTTAAAAATTACAGCCCATTTAATGTGAGAATTTTGTTCTCCGTTTTGTGAATACATGCAAACTACACATGATAAATCCTCTAAACTAATCCTCTAACCTAATTTAGCATTGTATGCTACATATTCTATCAGATGGTCCTTTTAATTAATTAAGAAATAGAGAAAATCCTGTGCTGTTCTTTAAAGGTATTGAGGCTCATGCAGCAGCTGAGCTGTATAATTGTGCTGCAAGAGATTGGGTGTATGGAAGAGTTGCGTATTTTGGAGTGCTCTTGTCACAGATTTATAGAGCAATGACTATCCTTTCTGCCGTGCATCTTTGTAGAGATCTGGTACAAATTTAGATCAGACTAAAATCTGAGAATATACACTTCTAGTGGAAATTAATTTTTCCCTTCCTAAGGAAGAGAAGGAAATACTGCTTTAGAATAAGAACAACTGAATTTATTTTTTCTAATGGATTCAGTACAAGATCAGGAATAATTCAAAATCTTAGCCTTCAAAGGAAAGGTACTAATTAGCAGCGTTTCCAGTTCTTCTATAGTAGCAATTTATAGTATTAAAAAAAAGAACCTTAAAAGAAAGGGTGTGGATAATAGCTGCTTCTGAAATTGATGTTGCTTGACTAGGAGGAATAAGTTACACTGATATAGCTGGCTTGCAGCACATTAAAACTTCCATTTAGCCTTTCTGCAGCAGAGACATACTATCTCATAGCAATTAATCTACTGAAGATGCTCAGACTGGGTTGGTCTTCGAACCAGACCTTCTTTACAAATGTTCAGTGTTTATTAATGACCGATTATTATTTTTATGTGTGCATGCAGTACAGCCTCTCTGGTAGAATAGAGGACCAGCTCGTATTGGATTTGTTTTTGTTTGTGCCCTTTTGCATTTCCTACAGTGAAAGAGTTGGAGTGAAAAAGCAACACTCAGAAAGCTTTTGTTGTGTGTGAAGTTATCAACAAACAAGTTGCAGGATGTGATGAAGGAAATACTGTGCACATGCTCTGTAAGGAATGCAAAGTATGCCAGCCATATTACAATTTTCTTTAATTACATCATAATATTGCACATCTAACTCTAGCTTAGAGATTATTGATGTACCAAATCAGTCTTGAATTATCTGATGGCAATATTTTTCCCTTACGTTCTCTCAGTTTGAGTAAGGATCATCTATTATGCTCTTAACGTTGGTCAGTTTTATACAAATTCAGTTTTAGGTATAATCATGGTTGCAGACTCCTTGAAAAATCTTAACTATATCTCCATCATATTTGACATAAGATTATGTGCTTCATCTCATTTATTAGAGACAGAATCACAGAATTGGCAGGGTTGGAAAGGACCTCAAGGATCATGAATCTCCAACCCCCCTGCCACATGCAGGGCCACCAACCATTCCACCTAATGCT